GTGTTGCATGTTTATAATGTATTCAAAACACTGTTCTTTGACTAGTATTGTATTGTTCTTTATCTCCTTGACATCTGATGGGAGGTCGTTCCATGACAAATGAACCTTGTCAACTCAGGGGACAGCCAACAAGGCTCCTGCAGATGATCTGAGGGATCTAGCTGGGATATAAGGGTTTAGGCAGTCCCTCAGACCTAAATTGTTCAGGGCATTATGAATTCACACAATGACTTTGAACCTTGATCAGTAGTAAATGGGCAGCCAGTGCCGATGTTTTAACAATGGTTGGGCTTTCCACAGAAAAGAAAAATCCAGATTAAATGGGGAAAGAATAGAGGCCGGCATGTCGATGAAGACAACAGTAAGCAGATGCTGCAGAAAACCTTAACAGCACCAAATCCACAAGAAGTTGCCATGTAAACGCGCCCCAAGTCTGCCACCTTCAATTTAAATAAGCCACTCTTTCATCTCTCAAGAAATGTATCTCCCATGAGAGAACTCTACGCTGCTCCCTTAACTAGCACGAGTGCCTTTAGAAAAAGATGGACAGCTGGTTGAAATAAACAGCAAGTTGCAGCTGGCAATGAAACTTTAATTCTGTTTTGGTTCTGTCACCAGAATACAGAAGTGAAGAGCAGATGTTTGGTATACAGAACAAGAAGCAAATTAAACCTAACTTGACTTTTACCAACACAGTTAGGCTGGAATATGCTTGCGTCACCTTGACGTTGACCCCATCTGTGCTGTAAATTCAAAGCAGTATGGCACCACTTTAAATAGTCATGGCTACTCCCAAAAAGAATCCTGGGAAATTTAGTTTGTTAAGGGTACTGAGGCTTGATAGGAAACCCCTGTTCCCCTCACAGAGATGTAATTCTCAAAGTTCCCAAGGAAGAGGGAATTGATTTGTTAAACTGAATACTCTAGTTCTGAGAGGGGAAACAGCCTCTCCTAAGAACACAGACTTCCCAGGATTCTCTGGAGGAAGCCATGATTGTTTAAAGTGATATGGTACTGCTATAAATGATTCAAACCAACAGCTCTATACCTCCACAACAGTGAGAAGTGCTCAAGGTGAAACTTTGAGAAGATTGTTGTACAAGTGTTTCGGAAGCTCTTATACCAGGAGATCAGTGAGATCTATGGTCAATCCAACTTTGGTGCTGCTTAATGTGTTCTTGGATAAGAAATCTAGATCTTGATCAAAAAGAGCTGTTGAATCACTTACTTTTGGCTTCATGAGCACCGAGAGCTTAGAATTGGAAGGTAACTGCAAAATGCAAATGTTGACCAGTGGTATCAAAATGTTTGGCGATGTACCCTCTTAGAGCAATTAATACAAAACAAAGGGCAAATAGGGGACAAAAGATAAAAGACCCTTTTGAGAAAATATGGAAACTGCTTACTGACAACACAAAGGTAAAAGGTAATGCACCCTTGAGATCCTCTGGAATATGGATCTTTTGAGCCATCTCGAAACCCTGTAATAAAAAATATGGCAAAGAAAACCCTGTAAAGAAAATAGAAAGAAGAAAATATTAAGATCATCCGTATGTGTAGCTGCTTAGCTGTTTGTTTTATTTTAATTTGCATCTTCAAAAAGTTTAATAAAGTGTATCAAAAAAAAAAAAAAAAGATGGTGCCCTTAAAAAATTAAACTGTTCGGCAGATGCCCACAGGTGATACCTTACATACAAATGGCAAACAGGAAGCATAGAAACCAGGATGTTGGACTTGATTTGGACTTTGCGTCTGACACAGCAATGACGTTCTTATATTCTCTGTAAAGGAGAAATTGAGGCCTTCAACTATAAGGCACCAGGTTGATAAAAACTGTCATATACAGATTTGCATTTCTGTATCTTTTCATTCTTAAAAGTTTGCCTCACTGATGAATCCATATAGAGGAAGTGCTAGCAGGGCTGTTTTCAGTTGAGCGTTACTGACAAGCAACACCTGGACATGAGCGTTTAACTTCACCCACATGTAAAACAGCGCAAGATGGAAGCCGTTCTAGCATTTATGTGGTTTGGCAAAGCCAAGTCGAGTCCTTCTGTGAGAATCCTTGGGACAGCCAAAGAAGAAAATTGCTCTTGGGTAGTCACTTATATTCTCATGTGATAGAGGAACAAAACGCTTTCAACCCAAACAACAGTATTTGAGTGTATTAATTAAATAACAGGGAGGAGAAACCCTGTTAGGTTAGGCAAAAACAGGTACAGAACACTGCATTTATTTATTTTGTGAAATTCGTACACTGCTTGATTGTAAAAACAAAACAAACCTCAAACTGGTTCACAAAACAGTAAAATCAAGAAAATTTCACATACAATGACATTATTATTAATTACATGAATCAGCTGCCCCATAATCAAGGTTCTTTGGACGATGAACTCTTGCAAAAGATTAAAATCCACAAATCTGGTAGAATACCCATTATTAATATGAGTGTGGCTTGGGTGGAGGAAGGAACTGTATATTGTAGGCTAGACACCTGGAGCTAAAATGCACTATATATAAAGGTAAAGGGGCCCCTGACCATTAGGTCCAGTCATGGCCAACTCTGGGGTTGCGGTGCTCATCTCGCTTTACTGGCCGAGGGAGCCGGCATACAGCTTCCGGGTCATGTGGCCAGCATGACTAAGCCGCTTCTGGCAAACCAGAGCAGCCCACGGAAACGCCATTTACCTTCCCACTGGAGTGGTACCTATTTATCTACTTGCACTTTGACGTGCTTTCAAACTGCTAGGTGGGCAGGAGCAGGGACCAAGCAACAGGAGCTCTCCCCGTAGCGGGGATTCAAACAGCCGACCTTTTGATCGGCAAGCCCTAGGCTCTGTGGTTTAACCCACAGCGCCACCCGCACCCCTTGCACTATATATAGGAACCCTTTAACTGTGTCTGGGGGATCCTGTGTCAGGTCTGGAGATGCCATGCCTGCAATGGTCTCTCCACATATAGTGCTTCACTTTCCCCCGTAGACTGTCATTCAGTCCCATAAACCAGGGGCAGCCAATGTGCCTTCCAGATGCCGATGGACTACAACACCCATCCTACTAGACCATTGGCCATGTTGGTTTGGGGATGATGGGACATGGAGTCCAGAAGACACAAGATTTACCCACCCGGGAAGAATGGCAGATGAAGTTGATGGACTATATGGAATTGGCGGAAATGACTGGCAGAATCCGAGACCAGGGAGAAGAGTCGGTGGAAGAAGATTGGAAAAAATTTAAAGATTATTTACAGAAATACTGTAATCAATGAATGTTAGAAAAATGTTGGAATGAAGTTACATGGCTTTAGTAGAAATGTTATAAGGAATTAAATATAAATAGATTAATAGAGTATTAAAGGGAAAAATAAGGTTAGAATGAGTTAAGATAATTATAGGATAGAAAACAGAGGAAGATAGAAAGGAATTGCTGAAATAATTAACAGAAGTGGAATACAAAAAGGGAGGTGTGAGGAGGTCGTGGAAATAAGTGAATGAAAGATGGGATAATGAAATTGTTTGACTTATTTTATTGTTTTTGTTTTGTTTTGTTAGTTTAAGGTATTGTATTGTATTGTATTGGTTTTTTTTTAGTGTTTAAATTTTTTGGAAAAGTAATAAATATGATTTTTTTTTTTTAAAAAAAAAGATGGGACATGGAGTCCAGCAACACCCAGAGAGCACCACGTTGGCTTTTCTGGCTACAGACAAAAGTAGAGAGGTGCACTAGGACACTCTTTTGGGGAGTGCCTAAATATTCTCCTGGCACTAACCATTCAGAATTAAGCCTGGTCTTGTCCATGACGTCTATTGATCACATTTCTGCTGGGAGTTCCCTGAAGGCAACTGTCCTCTTATTACATATGAAGATGTCTTATGTTGTGTCCATCTAGCTTTGTATGGTTTTCTTTGAATGCTTGGGAATGAATATGGGGCCTTAAGAACATAAGAAGTGCCTGTTGGGTCCGGCCAATGGCCAATCTATTCTCACGGTGGCCACCCAGGTGCCTACAAGGAATGGGCTTGACCACGAGACTGCAGAGGAAGGCACGTTTGGCACATCTTCACCATGATCAGCTCCCACCCGCAAACCTATGTCCCCACTGTGGAAGGATGTGAGGATCCAGAATTGGCCTCCACAGTCACTTATGGACACACTGTTAACACCATATTCATGGAAGACAATCTTACTTAGCTAAGAATGATCGCCGAAGAAGAAGAAGAAGAAAAAATTGATGGGAGGGAACAACACACAGTGAAAATATATCCAATGAAGCACCCCAGACTTATTCTTTTGGCTGGCAATGTAAATTCTCAACCTATTGCAACGTATTACGGTGAACTGAAGTTATTTCTTCCATGAAGATCTTAAGAGACATATCATTTAATGTTTGCTGCAACAGAAACAGTTGAGCACGCCGACTTTCAGGGCAGTAATTCAACCAGGATTTCTCCAGAGCCCACAGCTGTGAATCAACCCTGTCATCAGGCGTCAGGGTTACAGCAGCAGCACATGGATTTAGGATAGTGAGTCAGAACAGAGCCTCAGGGCAAAATGCTTCCTGTCTAAACCACAGTAAGGATCCCTCAGCTGGGAGTACTGGCAACCTAAGAGTGCTGTGCATAGGATGTGCCTGTAATAGACAACTGACAGTTGCTGTGAAGGTAAAAAGGGAGAAGTCTAATGGCATCTGCAAAGCGTAACACATTGTAATGAGCTAGATCATGGCTTGTGACATAGACAGAGGACTCATTCACACTGGAGTTTTAAGGTGGGTTTGAAGCTGCTTGTGTTTGTTTCAGTTTTGTGGCATCCACACAATATATTCATTGCAGCCTGCACTGCCTACCTCATCCCCCATTTGAATTTTCCTGATTTGCAAATAACCTGATAAGGGAAGAAAATCCAGTATAAAGTCACATTACCTGACTGCAGATGCATTGCATTTTTGTAAAATAAAAGAAAAAATGTAACTATAGGAAAAGAATCAAAATATCACCATTTGCAAACATTGATAACTTTAATAGTTGTTGTTTTTAGAAAAGCACAAATATAACTGTACTTTAACAAAGGCATTTTCACCCTACCCAATTAATAATAATAATAATAATATCAATAATTACATGTATAGTGAGGCTCATAAACAACAAGGAGCACTGTAGTAGTGAAAAAGTAGTATACATTTGGTTTGCTTAAACCAGTTCAAGACTTATACAAGATGTTATGCAAACCCCGGGTAAAACACAGAAGCATTCTCAATGTTTTGCCCTCTGTTCAGAAACCCCCATTATCAAGAACATGTTTTATTACAAGAATAAGTTTCTGTAGAACAATTCATACAAGATAAAAATGGTACAACTGTTGACCTTTCCAAAGAAACCAAGCGGTATAAAGAAAAAGAGTATCAAAGAGAGAGAGAGAGAGAGAGAGAGAGAGAGAGAGAGAGAGAATATAAAGATTCCATCACAAGACTCTGGACAGCAGGATCTAGCTCAGGTGAAGGGAACCTCTGATGATGTGGCTTCTCCTGAAGTATCACTTGACAGCAGCAGCATGGTGCTGAAATGATGAACTGGTAGCTGGATCTTGGAGAGACCATTTGAATTTCCCACAACGCACTGAGAAGGGGCGTTGTTGGAAATCAAAAATGGCCGCTCCAATACTCAAATTGCCTGGCCTGCATCAAATGCTGGGTGAAAAATGTTTAAAGGTAAAGGGGGCCAGGGCAGGTGTGAGTAGTAGGCCCTCCTAGAGTACTAGACAGCTCTCTCAGCAACCAACATGGTGGCACCATGGCAGTTGACCACTCTCTAGGCTCAAAGCATCTCAGCTAATGGCATCCAGAAACTCTTCCACCTGCCTTAGTAGTACAGTTGTACCTTGGAAGTTGAACAGAATCCATTCTGGAAGTCCGTTCGACTTCCAAAATGTTCAGAAACCAAAGCACAGCTTTGGATTGGCTACAGAAACTCCTGCAGCCAATCAGAAGCCGTGGAAGCCCCGTCGGACATTTGGGTTCCAAAGAATGTTCACAAACTGGAACATTCATTTCCATGTTTTGATCGTTTGGGAGCCGATTTGTTCGGGAGCCAAGGCGTTTGAGATCCAAGGTACGACTGTATTAGGGTGCTGCAGCCAGAGACTTCATTGGCAGCACACACTACAGTACAGATGACAGGATTCTTCTTTGTAGCAGAACACCTGTCACGTTAGACTACTTAAAAAAGCGGAAAGAACATGCTTTGCAAAACTGATGGCTTCTTTTGTGCAAAACCTCACAAGCACCTTAACAGCTTTCAGCACATTGCAAAAGAATAGGGAGAAAGAACACACACTCACCAAAAAAAATTCTGCAAAATAGTGAAAAATAAATAGATTAACCACCCACTTACCATAGAACAATCCACATGAGAAATTTACATCAGAATTCTGATTCGTGTCCAGAATCCCAAGAGTGCATAACCTTATGTATGCTTTGGCCCTAACGGGGCTTCCAAGCTCTGAAGGAGCGTAACTGGAGTGCAAAAGAGACACCCAGTTATATCCCATAGCGGATTTGTTTGAGGCTATCAAAACAACTGGCTCTACTTCTATATTGATGGCTTCAAAAACAGCTCAGTATTTTACGTTGGTTAAAAATAACAGAGCATTTGCAGATTTATGAAAGGGGCAAATTAATACTGGAAACTTCTCTGCATGAGCAGATTCAGGAGAGCTAAAGAGCCCAAGCTTGCCATCCCCACTGTGTAGAGAGTCTCTCCACACCACCGGAGGTCACTTCTGGGAACACACTGAGAATTGTCCCCACCCAGAAATGGAGGAGACTTACACAGATCAGCACCTGATCATTTCTGCTCCAGCCAACCCTGATCTCAGCAAGATCAGGGCACCTGGGTGTGCAGGCATCCCCATTCTGCAGACTCCCTACTTGCGGGCAGGTGCTCACACCCTAACACACATTTTCTGCAGGAAAGGAATAGTGATGGTGGCTAAAAGCCCTGGTCTGCTCCTCTCTCAACACAGCAAAGCCTTACATACAAGGAACAGGTGGGTAGGATTCTAAGTCACCAATGCATCCTAAGAACAATGGCCCACCTAGTCCAGAATTCTGTTCTCACAATGGCTGGCCAGATGTTTATTGGAAGCCTGTAAGCAGGGCCTGAATGCAACAGCAGAGTCCTCACTTGTGACTCCCAGGAACTGGCACCCAAAGGCATAATGCCTCCAACAGGGTAACACAGCCTTAACCTCCATGAATTTGCCTAACCTGCTTTTGAAGGCACTCAAATTGATGGCCATCACGACTACCTGTGCTGGTAAATTCCACAGTTTGGCTACGCACTCACTCACATAGTATTGAAAGTTCATGCACTTAAGATTAAAAGTTTATGCTCTCACTAATAAGAAGCCACTACAGTGCATGGTTTCGTACATGTGTTCCTTATACAGTGGGCGCTTTGGTTACGAACGTGATCCGTGTGGGATGCACATTCGCAACCCGCAGTGTCCACAACCCGCAGCAGCACATCTGTGCATGCATGGGTTGTGGTTTGGCGCTTCTGCGCATGTGCAAAGCGCGATTTAGCGCTTCTGCGCATGTGCGACCACCAAAACCCGGAAGTAACCTATTCCGGTACTTCTGGGTTTCAGTGGTCTGTAACCCAAAAAAACGCAACCTGAAGCATCTGTAACCCGAGATATGACTGTACAGCTGTGGCTATTCATCACTGCATTACAGTGGTACCTTGGTTCCCAAACTTAATCTGTTCCCAAAGTCTGCGTTCTAAAACCAAGGCATGTTTTCCCATAGAAAGTAATGCAAAATGGATTAATCCGTTCCAGACTTTTAAAAACAACCCCTAAAACAGCAATTTAACATGAATTTTACTATCTAATGAGACCACTGATCCATAAAGTGAAACAATAATCAATGTACTGTACTATAAAATAAGTAAGACAGTATTGCAGATGATAAAAATTAAAATTATTCCCCCCTTACGTGCACCGATGATAGTCATTGTTTGGATGGGGGGCTTTTATCCATTTCTGCAGTCACACAATAAACCAGGAGTGGAACTGAATTCCACACAGTCCCAAAAACAAGTCCCAAAAACAACAGTCACAAGTCAGTCCCATAAAACGAAGAACAAGTCACAGTCAAAAAAATGAAAAAGTCACACAAACAAAAACACAAAAAATAGCAAAAACAAAAGCTCCAAATATCACCTCTGTGTTGTGCGGGTGCTCAGGACTCAACATCTGACTGACTCAACAGGAATCCTCTGATTAGCAGCGGGGGACTCAATTTACAAATGGAATACACTCAACAGGAAGCAGAACATGTTCAGCTTCCAAGGCAAAGCTCACAAATCGAAACACCTACTTGTGAGTTTGCAGTGTTCTACAGTCATACCTCAGGTTGAAGTAGCTTCAGGATAAGTATTTTCGGGTTACACGCTGCGGCGACCCGGAAGTAACGGAGTGCATTACTTCCAGGTTTCGCCGCGCATGCGCAGACGATCAAAATGACATCACGCGCATGCGCAGAAGCGGCGAATCGCAACCTGTGCACGCACAGACACAGGTCGTGTTCGCTTCTGGATGCGAACGGGGCTCCGGAACGGATCCCGTTCGCATCCAGAGGTACCACCGTATTTCCAAGTTGTTCATAAACTAAGCTGTTCTAAAACCAAGGTACCACTGTACTAGAAATGGGTAGCTCTTCATTATCTAAGCAAAGAGATGCAGATTCAAACTGTGAGAACTCTAAATGCAAAATTAATTTTTTTGTTTCCTTTTTTAAAAAACTGAATTCATTTCATAGGCCCTCCACTTCTGTGATTACCTGCAGGACACTGAGCAAAATTACATTATCTGGGACATGATGTGAAAAACAGAACTGCTTTACACATTAATAACTCCCCTGCAGGAAAATGTGGAGGAGTTATTAAGATCTTGAATATCTCTAGGATACCGCAGAGGAAGCATTCATAGGAGGGGAAAACACACAACAAATCACTGAACTAGGATGGTCAATTTCATTTGTCCCTTCCCAAGTCCATTAATTTCAACAATTCTCCTCTGAGCAGAATTTAGTCAGATATAACCCTTTGATAGCCTTATCCTCAATTTGTCTAATTGTAAAGCCATTTATGTTGATGGCCATCACTGCCTCTTGTGGGAAGCAATACTACAGAATATTAGTAGCAGTTTGGTCTTAAATCAGTAATCGAGTTATGTGAGACCATTACTAATAATATTAGCAAACCGTGAATATGGAAACTATGGGGTGGAGAGAACTCCTTCTCTGCCTTGTTTTCTGAAAACAGCACACTCATGCAATGCAATTACATCTCTCGCTCTTTAAAAAGACAGCCTGGTTCTTTTCTCCACAATTTGTTTTAGTCTGCTCTTTTTTTCCAAGGCTGAATGTTCTTTTAAAATTTAGTCTAGTCCGTCGGCAAACAAACACAAACGCTGTTAATTGCACTTAGATTAAAACCCAGAAATTAGCTCAAGCGAAGCATTGTTATCAGCAAATTCATCAAGCAGCACAGGGAGCCCACTGGGTAAAAATAAAATAAAATAAAATAAAAAAAGTACAATTGTGTGTAACCATGGTGAAATGGTTTTCTCTCTTCTTGACGGTGCAAAGTTTGTTTTCGCTGCAAAAATGTGCCAGAGCTGCTGAAACTCCTATGAATATCTAATCAATCTAATCATGAAGCTAGCAATAGGCTTGCAACGAAACAAAAAAAGGACTCAGGAGCGTGAAACTAAAGTCATTTAGTTTTCATTAGTGGTTTGGAATGGGAACTGATGGGGGAGGGGTGAACTGGGGAAATTTGGGTTTGAGCAGTAGACTCACAGAATTGTAGAGTTGGAAGGGATCCTGAGGGTCATCTAGTCCTATTTCCTGCAATGCAGGAATCTCAACACTCGGTCTCCCATCCAATTTGAAACCAGACCAGACCCTGCTTAGCTTTGCAAATGTGCCGCTTGAACAAATGATGACTGATGACTTGATGGAAAATAATGGTAAGGCAAGAAAAGATGTATTGCTAGTCAACTGTTTGAAAGGTAGGCCTGATGTATAAATGGAGGGGGGTGTTAGACAATGCCTATAAATATTCACTAGCCAGAATTGATATTTTCCTTCTACTGATACCTCTTCCATCATTTTTAGAGGCTTAACTGCATCCTCCATCTTTATCTCTGCAGTTATTTATGACAGAAGTTTCCCGGTCCAGTCCTATGAGCATTTTTCTCACCATGGGGCTTTCTCCCAGGAAGATATGTGCACAGGATTGCAGCCTCTGACTCTGCCTTCCGTGCAACAACCACAGTGCAATGATCTCGAGAATCAGGCCTTTGCTTATTAATAGCTTATTCTTCACAGCATTTCCAAATGCAATACAGGAAATGTTCACCAAGATTTCTACATCCACTTTTGGAAACACTGAAATATTCGACTGCAAAAAATAAATAATAAACACAAAGTGCTGATAATAAATAAAAACACAAAGTGCACTTTCATAGCATTTGTCATGATTATCTTTTTATATGACATGCTAACTGAAACCATGTTGCTAATGCAGGGAGAACGCTCATTAACCTGCTTATAACAACAGCCACTCAAGTGTGCAGAACCAGAAAGTTGGCCAGAAAAATAATACAGACGCTCTTGAGGAATAATCACATAAGGTCTGAAATGTGGGGAGAGCTTTGGGAATGGTAAGAGGTAGAAGACATATAAGAAGTACAAACAATGGCTTGGAACTGGGGCAGAGAACCTTTGGCCAGGAGTGTAGTGACCAATTTAGAAGTGCAGGTCCCTTCCTGCTAGTCCTAGCCATGCCCCCCCATAGCTATATCCCTTCTACAATTATATAACCTTCTAAAATATTAATTTTGTAGAACTACCATTTTCTATGCATGTCCACAGGCAAATGATTTGGAGTGTTCCAGTATCTTCTTTCAGAGTGACTTGAGTTGTGTGTTTTTTCTCTCCATGAAGTCCCATTTCACAAAATTCTCCTGAAACTGAAGCACCTTGTGTTCTTGGTGTCCCTACATGCTTAGCTTGAGAGCATACAGAGGCTACAAAAGCTCCCCTTTCACGCTGACTGGGTGACTCTAGGACACTGGAGACAGGGACCCTACAAGAGGAATGGTAACAGATTGGTGACATCTCCGTTTGCCAATACACCACTCCCTTTAGACCTCTATGTGCTGCAGTAGTGCTGCTGATAACCAGCCATCACTGTCTTATTTCTCTTTGACTGTGTCTGACAACCAAGCAGGTGGTAGCAATGATGACTCAGAGGAGAAGTAGCAGGTGGCAACCACGGCAGTGAGTGTAGAGCAGTGAGTGGACAACTGGAGCCCTCCATATGGTGCTGGACTACAACTCCCATCATCCCTGTCTATTGCCCATGCTGGCTGGGTCTGCTGGAAACTGGAGCCACAAGAATAGGTTCTCTATCCCTGGTTTAGAACAACAGCAAAAAGAAAAAAGAAAAAAAGGCCTTCTCCTAATTCCCTTTGACATGAGTTTTTATACAAATATCTCTATGGACCTAGTGAAAGAGTAGCATTGGTTTCTGAGCCACAGACACACAATAACATCTCATTCTGTTCTAGACCATCACAGACTTTGGTCAATGCAGCTGGGTTAGAAGAAATCAGAATCTCTCTCTGTGCATGAGAGAGTGGGTTTGGGGCTGTCACCATTATGTTTCCCCACGTAACCAAGATCAATACAAGGCTCTGTCAATATTGTTGCAAGCCTCTATTTCATTATCAGATCCTTAACACCCACCATGTTATCCTTCCAGACCCAGGGTTTTCAGATTTATGCAACAGGATTGTACAACTTTCTAGACACCTGAATCGTTTTCTTTCACCGACAGGACAAACTGCTAGGAAAGTAACCATATCTACAAAACCAATTGAAATATGTCAATGTGCCTTTGTAATGGACAACAAAAAAGGAGTACTCTCCACATGCTGCCTTGCCAGAACCTTCCTGCCATTTTAAAATAAAAAAATTCAAACCAGTTCTGCATGTCTACTTGTCCAGTGCCTACGGAGGGCAACGAAAGATATTGCTGCAGAACCAGAGGAGGCAGGTATTCATGTACAAAGCTCCAATTCAGGAGTAATTAGAGACTTAAAACCATAGAGAAATGAGATAAGCAACAAATTCACTAGCCAGCAAGCATCAGAGCCCTTGGTGAGCAAACCTGCCTTTTCTTTTGTGTGCGTTGCAGTTTGCATTATGGGGAAAGGCCATAGCTCAGTCATGAAGCCTCTGCTTTGCATTCAGGTCTCAGGATCAATCCCTGGCATCTCCAGACAGGAGACGGGGAAAAGTCCCTCTGTCTGAAATCCTGGAGATCTGCTGAGTCAGTAAGACAATAGCGAGCTAGATGGACCAATGATCTGACAGAGTATAAATTCACTGGCTTTTCATGTTAAACTTTACATTTAATTGATTATGCTGTTAATGAGATGCTTCCTCCCCACATCACTTACAAAGGACTTCAAGGGTGGCTCCCCCCCCATTTATCTTTTGGTCACCTATTGGCTAAGCTTGTTCTTAGCTAACAAGGGTCTACCTACAAATATTTAAAAAGATTTACATTTGTATATAGGCATGTGCGCATATATATATCTACATACATAAACACACTCTGCGCTGATGAAACAGCAACTGTCCACCTCCCCGAGCTGTTGTCCTTTCTTCTCAGAACGTGAAGGCATACACAACTCCGACAACAACTATGTTTCCAATTGTGGCTATAATTGCAATCCATAACAAAATGGCGTCGTTTGAAGAACGGGAGGCGTCTTCAGGCTGGTTCGGCATCGAAGCAGCTGCGTGGACATTGGCGGAGGAATTAAACAAGGAGTATTCCGTACTAAAGTCCTCGTTGGGCGAATCCATGAAGGCTCCTCCCATAACTGGAAGCTGTGGAAGAAGAATTTAGAACATTAGGGTCAAGAATTGGAGGAAGAGGTCCATAAATAGATACTTGTTTGCTGTCCTCCAGGTGCCGTTGGACTACAACTTCCATCATCTGCTGTTTGTGGTGTAGGCCAGCAATATCTGGTGATATAATGGTGAGGATTGCAAAAATATACTTTTAAGAGAGGTGCAAGACGATTCGCACATGTTTTCATGAAAAATAAATGCTACGGGTGTTTCTGTTTTGCAGTGACTTTACACTAGCATTTCTTGTGGGAGGGTAAGAAAACTGCATGTGCTTCTGGTTCTGTGCCTTAAAGCGAATACTTTATAACTTGAAGACCACAGTGCACAGAGTTTAGCAGGGCCTGCCTCTTTATGGACTGTGTCACATGGTGTTCCAAAAGGACTCCTAACATGCAGATGATGGGTTTCAAATGTGTTATAGTAGAGGGGCATGAAGTGAGGAATACCTTCCAAGAGCCCTGGGAAAAAACAGGGCATCTCATTTTTTCACACAAGATCTTGGCGGCCATTTTGGGTGCTGTGGTCTCATGTGCTTTTGCCCCCAAAAAGTGTTTCCTTTGTGGTGAAAGTGAAGCATGGGTCACGTAACTTGCTATGAGCACATCCCGGAAACTGCACTTCCCAGTTTTGTGTCAGAAAAAGTTGGACAGTATGGCGAGGTAACAGTATTTAGTGGAAGGAAGTGAAGGAGAGAGGGCTAGCAAGTGGCTAATTTAGCCCATTAGTCCTGGTTTCTGAAGGCCTGATGTCCCAGGCTGGTGATTCTATCCTCACTAAAGGATAGACCTACTCTGTACGGCATCAGTTCAAGAGTCATTCTTCCAGAATGACCATTTCAGTAAACAGACCTTGTCCAAGATAAATATTTGTTATGGGATTTCAAGCTTCTAACATAGTATCTTACACAGTTTATTGGTGGGAGGGGAAAACACCCATATGGAAAATGTATTCAAGTGGACACACAATTCAGCATGTCCAAATGCCTTCTTGATCCCAAGCAAGAAACCAGTACTTTAGGGGGGTGGGAATTAAGAGTCTTTTCCTTCAGATGAATTTAAATTCTAATTCAGAGCTTGTCTGGAGCCTGGGACAAATTCTGCCATGAAAGCTAACAGCTGGGCTTGAAGTTCCTATGACAGGCAGCCTCTGCCATCACCATTCCCCACAAATTCTGCAGTCAATTAAGACAAAGTTAACCATCTGATATGACAAGACCCATCATTTAAGAGAATTTTAAGAAACTTTAAGAGATTGCGCAGGGATGCCCTCATGTCCTATTTTAAAGAGACGAGTCTTCAACTTGAAGGGCTGCTAAGCCATAAAACTCACTGAGTTAACAGAATCTACCTCAGAGAGGATTGCTGCATGGATAAAACAAGAACAGTACCCTCCATCTTTGCCATCCTGAGCTGTTTGAAGAAGGATGGGATACCACATTTCTTGGCACCTCAGTACCCAAGGGAATGTCTCCTCCCATATGATGATACCCTTGGCAATGGAGCCCCTCATCTGAGTGTCTTCTTCATCAGAAGTTGAGGGTGGCTTTGAGAAAGAGAACATTTCTCAGTGGTGTTCTGTAAGCTTGAGAATACCAGTTACTGGAAACCAAAGAGTCAGGAGGAGTGCTGCTGTGCTCAGGTGCTACTTGAAGACTTCACATATGCATCTGGCTGACCACAGCAATAGCATGATGCTTGACTAGATGAGCCACTGGCCCTAATCCAGTAGGCTCGTCTTACATTCATTCTTGCTGGGTAGTGCCCTGGTTATGAAATGCTCACCCAAGGGAAACTGGCTTGGGAGTACCTACATTGTTGTCATTTAGGCATCAAGCGAAGCCTTTTCTGTTCTCCCAGCTTTCATGGTAGTGTTAACTTCTGTATTTTGCTAGTCATGTTAGTACATTCTCAGCTCTTGAGATTTTATTGTGTTTTCTTAGTGTGGTTTTGTAATATGTGGCTGTATGTTCACTTGGATGTTATGACTTACTGTGGATTTTCACTGCATATTATTGTGTTTTTAAACCGAAAATGTCACACCTAAAGAATTTTAATAGGGATGGGATTAATCACAGCATAAAGATAACTGCAATGGAAAGTCCCTCCCTCATCTTCTCCCCTGTGCACCCCCTAAATCTGTTGTAGGGGTTACTCCAATTCTCTGGAACAGATTCAGGACACACAGAGACTGAGGGATGGGGACAAAGTCCCACTGCAATAAATGTTCCACTTGCACAGTTATTTAGTTGAACACTGCCCTAGGTGTCTAATACCAGTACAGTGGTACCTCTGGTTAGGAACTTAATTCGTTCCGGAGGTCCGTTCTTAACCTGAAACCGTTCTTAACCTGAGGTACCACTTTAAGTAATGGGGCCTCTCGCTGCCGCACGATATCTGCTCTCATCATGAGGTAAAGTTCTTAACCCGAGGTACTACTTCCGGGTTAGCAGAGTCTGTAACCCGAATTGTAACCTGAGGTGTTTGTAACCTGAGGTACCACTGTATACTTAAAAATCTTCTGTATTACTGTGTGATTTGAAGAAGTGAGCACAAAAGGAAAATGTGTAAGAGAAGCAGATCTTTTCAAATGAGCAACTGGGAAAACCCAGAGTTCTCTTCCTTTGGGGGAAGCTGGGGGAATTCTTCTTCTTCATTGTCCATGTGAATCATTGTTACAGAAAGCTCTCAAAGTCTAGTGGTTTGAGAGCCTTTATCAGTGAAGAAAGACACATCAGAGCTGGCCCTAAGCTCCGATAGCCAAATAGCTAAGGGGACCGATTGGGTTTCTAACATGTCTCTACTAGGCAAGCTTTGGAGAAGATTATTCTTATAATTGGGCAATGTGCTATTTGTAGCAAAGCCCCACAATACATCATCTTTCCATTTAAATTGTACCCTCGGTGCCTTACTTTCCCCAGGGTTGGCAGAAAATCTTAAGAGATCAGTGTCAAGCCCTTTACAAGACATTTAGGAAAAGAGCTTGAAAAGGGGTGTTTTAGTCTATGTTTTCTGTATTCACAAAAAAGATCCCTAGAAAAAGCTCAGGAAACAAATGAAATGATGCTTGTGGAAACTGATTTTGTTTGGCACAAACATATACTAGCTGCGGGAAAACTGAACGATGTGGTTTAAAGCAATCTTTAGGTTTCCGATCCCAGTATCCAACAGAGGGCTCTGCCAGATTGTCTTGTTTATTGAGCATTCATCTTGTTTGGATGGTGGTTTTAGGATGTCGCCCAACACTGCCATTATCCAATGCATTTTCCTGTCACTTTCCTTGCCACAAAAACCCCACTTCTTTTGGAAGTGGCTTTGTTGCGCAAGACCATCAACTCCACTTTGTATGAATGAATTATAGTGTGATGGTCTAGAAGCAGCCGGACTCAACAGGAAAATCTCTCATTAATGTCTTTCAGTAAGAGGGAAACCAAAGCATGGGGTGGGGGGTACCACAGCTCAGCAGTAGAGCTCTGGCTTTGCATTCAGAAGGTCACAGGTTCAATCCCCTGGATCTCCAGTTTAAAACTGGGTCAGGTGGCAGGCAATGTGAAAGACCTCTGCTTCAGGTAGTGGACAGCCACTAACTCAAAGTTACCAATACGGGGCTATATGGAAAATAGTCGAACCTACTTTATAAGGCAGTTCCCTACATTTCCATCTTTCTACACACCATCTTGTACATTTCAAGATTCTCTCAAGGTCATGCATTGTGAACTCCGGGGGAAGATTAAGTACCTCGTATGCTTAAAAGGATGCCAGAATCCATTCCAACTGATCTTGGCCCAGGACTAAGTTGTACAAACAGACCACATCTGTTTTCAGCAACATATTATCAGGAAATAAAAATGAAAGACTAAAAAAGGGAAGAAACTCTAAAAATTCAGATTGCTAACAACCCAGACCTTTTTTTTGGGGGGGGGGTCAGTTCCAGGTCTCTCCACCCAACATCTTTTAATTAAGAAATTCAAAATAAACATGGATCAAAGTGGAAAAGGTTCTCAGATGATGCTCCCTGAATCGAACTTGAACACTGGTGGTTTCCTATACCACAATGGAGGCCAGTAGTTCAGTTGAGGGGGCACTGGGCAAGTTGCCTGACACACAGTTCTCTGTCCTCCAAGACCTTGCATCACTCCCTGCCCCCCTGCAACTGCTGCCTGAGGCAGCCGCTTTATTCTGCCCAATGGGAGGGCCGGCCCTGCAAAGGATTGTTGTTTTAGGAGCCAGGAGAAGATGCATTTCTTGCAAGACATCAATATTTTGCAGAAGAGATGTAAAGGAAAAGAAGGTTTAAGGTATGACAGTTGCTCATATTAAGGAAAGGAAGGCTTCTCGAGGAAAGAATAAATTCTTTCTAATGAAGCACTTACTGCTATGGAAGCAATTATTGAATTCAGAAAGCACACGATTGCACACATGCCATGTATTCCGACCTTGTGGCTCAGCATCTCTTCACACCATTGTTTAAATGAGAAAGACCCAACATCATAAATACTTATCATTGGTATGCAATAATGAAAAAAAAGTATGCTGCAATCCCCCCCCCCAAAAAAGCTAGCACATTTGACACCTATGTAACTAATAATTCTTACATGAAATAATGTAGATTTTCCTCAATCGAGATTCAGAATGAGTGTGCAGTTCCCACTGGTTCCATGTTCTGCTAAGTGATAAAAAATTTATATTGCCCCTCCTGGCCCCCTTTGCCTCAGCAACCTTCACATTTATGCCTTGAAATGTATATGTTAAAGTACTAATGTGAAAGTGAGCTTGCTCACAAAGGAAATCTCTTTGCTATGGATAAAAATCAGTGTTAAAAGTCAAGTACAAAAATGTTTTATTTAGTGAAAATAAAAATAAGAGCCCTAAATAGCAGGATGCTGTCAATAAATTCAGCCTGATACAACCCCACACATTATACAGCTTGCCATTCAAAATATAAGAAAGAGAAAAAAGACTGAAAGAGAAATATAATAATGAAATTATATAAAGTGAAACAAACAAGACTACCAACACACTAAGTAGGTTCAAGTTTGAATTTTAATTCATCATAAAATAAATATTTATCTGCAGCAATTTCCCCTTTTGCTCATAGTCTTTGTTCTAAATAACAATAGGATGCAAAAAACAGATAGATGTGTAATGTTTCATGCTTTAAAATGCTTATAATTGTGTGCTAAATTAGTTAAAGAACTAGGCCACTAATCATAAATTTGTTGGTTTTGATAAAGCGTGTTCATGGAGAGCACGTGTTGCGGTGGGGGCCGCCAGGACACTCCAAAGTTGGGGGCGGGGTAAGTGATCGTTGGCCACGAATGCGATTGGGCTTCCCTTGTTGTTGGGAAGAAGTTAATGTTGTCATTTGTTGATTGACAGCCAGAAATGCTAAAACTCCTTGCACGAGGCGTAGAGCTTCCTCTTTTCGACTGTGAATCGGATTGCCCGTCCCCCCCTCCCTAGAATTAGGGTTGTTCGCTTTGACCTTGCTATGCCTGTCATGGCGTCGTCTGCTTTGGGGCAGGGGCCCAGTAGGAATTTTGTCCATCTGGCTGATTGGCTGGGGTCATTTGGTTTTTGCCTACTGCGTAGCAAATCGTCACAACTTGTAAGGTTGCGGTTAGGCATTGGTTTATGGTTTGGTTGGTTGAGGGGCAGTGGTTGAGTGCCTGCCCTTGGTAGGTTGAGTGCCTGCCCCTCTAATGCTGCTGCTGCAAGGGATTCCATTAAAGGAATTGGGGGCTAACTATTGCTTGTCCACTCTGTCAAGGGGCCATAGCAATGAGCTCCTGGTTGCATTTGGGGTGAGGGCAGGTTCCCTGCTCCGTCGTTACCCCCAAGTGTATTCCCCTATTCTGACTTTTGCATCGTGCGGAATGTCAGTCTGTCCCCCATGGTGGGGGTAGATAGTCGCAACCAATGCCTAAGCAACCACTCACAAATTTGTATTTTAATAAAGTTGTGGCCCAGATTATGCCAAAAATCTTAAACAAAAAATTCTGTGTGATGTGTGAGTTATTGGGGTGGCCCTGGGGACCTCGACACGCAACTTATAAAATCATTTGCTTTTTAATCCCATATATAGTGGAGCTGGAATTTTTTTTTTGGGGGGGGGAATCTTGTACCTAAAATAAAAATAAAATAAAATGTTGAAAGAGTTGTGGAGGATATGTCCCTTATTAATAATAATAATAATAAGTTAGTTACATTTGTAAATGCTGTGGTGCAATTGTTATAGTTTGCAAAAAAAACCCAGCCAGAACCAGAAAGTTTAAAATACAGTAATAAAATTTCCAACTAGAAAACCCCCACATTATGATGAATGGAGAGCATCATAAGGCTGTATATTATCATTGTACTTGCTATTCCAGTATATCAAAAAAATACAATTTCCCCATATACTGAAAAGCAATACCAAGCAGCTTTTGCCCTTCTGTTCTATGGGAAGTTTCTGCCCTCCCTGAGCTCCCCAAATTTATTTATTTGGTTAATTCTGCTTGTATTCCCCTAAAATGAGTTCCCTCATTCATTTTTGCCATATTCCAAATCTTCTCGACCCACTCAAAGGTAGTGAGAGGAAAAAAGCTCCCCCCCCCGAATTCTTAGCAATTATTATTTTTGCTGCAGTAATCAAATTGATTACCACCCCTTGATCGCTGTCTATGATAACACCTTTTAAGTATCCAAGCAGAAATATCTTAGGAACACATGTCCAAATGGAGCCTAACATTTCTGAAATTATTTCAGAAACAGAATTCCTAAAAAAAAAGGGACAATTCCAGAAAATGTGGGTGTAATCTGTTAGCAGATTAAAAATCAGTGCTGCATGCATGACATATTTTTTTTCAGACAACAGTGCCCCCTCCCTCACTGCATGCTGCAGTGCAAATATTTTTAATATTCCGGGGCGGGGGGGGGCAGTTTGTGCTACTATATAAGGAGCTGCTGTTCATGAATGTGTTGTAAGCTGCACTGCTTGCGTACAGTCTCTTGCATGTGTTTAAAGGGGCTTCCTGCATCAGGGCCAATAAAGAAGAAGCCTTGTTCCATAACTAATGGAATATCATACCTAAAACCAGGGGGAGGGGGAATCTACAGCAACATACATAAAAAAAATGTACCTCCTCCACCCGCCCCAGCCACCCTTTCAGAACCTAGGAAGTTGTTTCACAATACAGTGGTGCCCCGCAAGACGAATGCCTCGCAAGACGGAAAAACCGCTAGACGAAAGGGTTTTCCGTTTTGGAGTTGCTTCGCAGGACGAATTTCCCTATGGGCTTGCTTTGCAAGACGAAAATGTCTTGCGAGTCTTGAGATTTTTTTTTCGCTCCCCCCCCCTTTATCTAATCTGCTAAGCCTTTAATAGCCTTTAATAGCCTTTTAGCAGCTAATCCCCTAAGCCTTTAAGCCTTTAATAGCCGCTAAACCGCTAATAGCGCTAATCCGTTAAGCCACTAATAGGGTTGCTTCGCAAGACGAAAAAACCGCTAGACGAAGACTCTCGCGGAACGGATTAATTTCGTCTTGCGAGGCACCACTGTAAATCAGTTCGATTTGTCCATCTAAGTCAGTACTGCCCACATTCCCTGGTATCAGACCCTTACACATCTACCCTGATCAGCTGTGATTCCCGCAATGTATGGGGCAGAGCCGACACAAGACATTTCGGCACCCGAGGCAGACCCCAAAGCAGAACCCCACTCCCTGCCTGGAAAGAAGGAGTGAGGGGGAAAATTCTACATCAGGAGCAAGAGAGGAAGAAAGATTGACATCAGGACCTGCTGCCCCCGTGGATTCTACCGCCTGAGGCGGTTGCATCCAGGACAGAGTGCCAGCCAAGCTCGGCTTAAAAACCTCAAAGGAAGGAGAGTCCACAACTTCCCAAGGGAGTCCGTTCCACTGTCAAACAGCTCTTCCTGTCAGGAAGTTCTCCCTGGTTTTTAGCTGGAATCTCCTTTCTTGTAACTTGAAGCCTATCCTATCTCCAGAAGAGGAGAAAACAAGCTTGCTCCATCTTCCATGTGACAGCCCTTGAGATATTTGAAGATGGCTATCATATCGTCTCTCAGTCTCCTCTTATCCAAGCTAAGCATACCCTGTTCCCTCAATCATTCCCCAGACCCTTAATCATTTGGGTCGTCCTCCTCTGCACACGTTCCAGCTTGTCAATCAATTAAATTTACTGTACAAATGAATCAGCAGTGATTCTACTTAGACACAGAACATTTGTTTGGACAACATGCTGTGTAATGGTGAAGAGTACCCAGCTATCTAATTGGGGGAGAGCATCTGCAAAACAGAGTTTCGTCTCTCCACACCCTGCCTCTGGACTCCAGAAGGATATTTTCACATGGTCCCTTCCAAGACACCCTTAAGGCTTCATCCCTGGAGCAATTCTGGTCTATCTTAATTTAGCAGTCCAAACGCATAACAAGAGTGATACAGACAGGTTGATGGCAAACTCAGTTTGCACGCTTCCATTCATGACCTTGCATTGCTGGTTAATTGTCGAATTAAATCAAAATAACAGAAAGCAGACCTTGGAAACAGCAATGGAATATCCATTTTTGAAATATACAAAATTAATTACCTTACATATCTCTTGTAATTACCTCCCATATCATTGTGAAATGAATACGGGATGAGAGCAGAATGCTAAATAAAAACACACACATTATTTAAAAGTACTTTGCAGAAGGTAAATATATTCCTGTGTCCCTCTTCACTTTATATATTCGAGAACCCTTAAAAACTATGAAATGGAGGTGGGCATTTTCTTTTTTTCCATTTTGTTTATCTTAAACAGAAAGCAAAAAAACCCACACCTCCTTTGAGAGTCCTGCTGTCATGGACAATTCACATTCTAGTATTGCCACTGGGCTTACAGTTTGATGTGGGCAGTGACCTGTCTCTAAATAGGTATATTTACGATTGCATCCCCAAGGTGGCTGACTGTCAGGTGTTGAGAATGAAGCATTTTCTGCCATTACCTGCAGCAATGACTCTACTCAGTTTAGTAAATACATCTCAACGTGCCTCTACAGAATGGCAGCCCCAGACAGAATGAACCAGCCCATGGCTTGTATATCCCCCTAAGAATATCAACATGCCTTCTGCAGTGAAACTTGGTGAAGTGCCTTAATGTGAGATAACTGGATGTTCATTCAAGTTTTAGATGTTGGACTGTGATTTGAGATTTAACAGTACTATGAGGTTTATATCACTGCCGCAACACAATAAGCAGATGAATGTACAGGTGACATTAAAGATCCATTCAGTCAAACATCCTGTTTCCTATTTGGGGTTGATTCCTTCCAGGCTGTTGTCAGACCCACTAGCCAAGAACCACAGTGCTGCATAGAGATATAACAGATATAACTGATACACATACATTCCAAATTATTCTTATTCTTATTTATTTATTTACACCCAGCCTTTTCCCCTGACAGGGACTCAAGGTGGCTTACAGATAAAATAGATAAAACTGCTTCCCCCCAAACTGACAACCCACATTTAGCATCACTTCTGAACTTACCTGTGTGACAGGTAAGGACTGTTTATCCTTCCCCTTCCCTTTCCCAGGCATTGATGCACTCCATATCACAAACGTTCCTTTTGTCCTTGACAGGGAAAAGCTATGGTGTTCTGAATCGTTAACTTTAGAAAAGGGAAAAGTCTTTTCCTCCCTCTCTCATATTATAGGAACTAGAGGTCATCTAATGGAGCTGAATTTTGGAAGATTCAGGACAGGCAAAAGTTAGTATTTCTTCACATCCTGCAGAGGCCTATGAGACAGAAGGCCTGCAAGCATCAGGACATCAGTGCAACAGCGCTTTTCCTACTTGTGATTTCCAGCAACTGGCACTGCCTCAGACACAAAGTCATCATAGCTAGGCCATCAACGGCTACTAGCCATGTTTGCCATGTTTTTCCTCTTCTTTGGAAGGCAGAACGCTTCTGAATTCCACTTTCTGGGAAGCACAAATGGGAAGAGTGTTGCTGCACACAGACCCTGCTTGCCCATTTTGCCACTGTGAGAACAGGATGCTGGACTAGGTGGGCCATTGGCCTGATGTTCTTAATCCCTTCCATTTTAGACCAAAAGCAGAAGCTGGTCACATGTGTTAATCCCTGCCTTCTGCTTCAGAAGCAGAAGCATGATTTTTTTTTTGTTAAACAAAAGCCAGGGAACCAAGAAACCAAGCTCTGTTCTGTTACCATCACCACACATAAGCAAAGTACTCCTCTGGCGAACACTGCATCCTGAAATCTTTGCAAATAAACTGATAAAGTGTTAAGCTCTGCTGTAAAGAAGAAGAATTAAAAGCCAGCTCTGAGATGTAATACAGGAACCATATGGGAAGCTTTCCCCTTCAACCAGAGCCTCAGAGAAAAATCATAAGAGATCTGTTTAGTTTTGTAACATTTGCCTGGAAAGAAGGCTGAGTAAACTCGCCCTTGCACTGTTTATGCGTGTGCAATTAACATTTTGTGCGGTTAATGTAAATATTTCTTTTTAAAAACAAAAATGCATGGGGCACATTAAGTTTACATTGTTGGTTATTTTATTCACAGTGCTGAAAATTCAGCCTGAAAAATAACCAGCCCAACCTATGACTCAATCTGTGCCTTTCAGTAATCTTTTCTGAGAGCATTTGCTATTAATCGAATTACTGCTGCTGTGCATTGGTGAGCCAAATAATTCTAGGGCCTCACAACATATGCATGTTTCTTCATGATCTCAGTTTTAAGAGAGAGAGAAAATGTGATTCCATGAGGTGCTATTCAAGTACCTTTTACTCTTGAATAGACCCGCTGAAACGAACAAACCTAACTTAAGCCATGTTCATTAATTTCAAAGGGCCTTCTCTGAGCAAGACTTAGTTGAATGCTACTCATGGCTTCCCAAAATGGCTGCTGTGCATTCTTCCTTGAAATAACTTGAAGCAGTAATTGATTCAAGGTATGCATTGACTCTTTGTGGTGACTGGATAACAAGGTAAATCGGGGTGATTCGGCAGATGGGGTCTTCCCCTCACCTCATGAGTTGAAGCTTGATGCCAATAACACCTTTGAATTGGATCAGGGCCACACATTAGCACCGTATCTTGACTTTTCGGTACTTTCTACTGAGAGATGAGCTCCATTAGGCCTTTCTCCTTGAATTGTTTCTATTCCAGCTGGTTATTGTAAGACTTTTGAGAACTAGTACCTGACTTTCCTTGTTTACCTTCCCTCTCCATTTTCCCCTTTGTATGGTGTCTTTTATGGTGCAAGCCAGTGGGCAAAGGCTGTCTGGTTTTTATTGATCTTATGCAAGCTTCTCCGAGAGCCTTATTGATGGATGAGTACATGTAAAATAAAATGCTTAAAACAGACAAACAAGCAGCTCTGATAGCCTGATTGGATGGGATATATCAATTGTTTGAGTACAGGCAAAAATAAATTTTTGACTGATACACAAGATTATTTATTACTTATGTATTGCATTTACCATATTTTTCGCTCTATAAGATGCACCAGACCATAAGACGCACCTAGTTTTTGGAAGAGGAAAACAAGAAAAAATATATTCTGAATCCCAGAAGCCAGGACAGCTAGCGGGATTGCTGCGCAGTGATCCCGCTGGCTGTCCTGGCTTATGGGATAGCTGCGTCAGCCTCTCCTGGGCAAGGGGAGCCTTCATCCCCTGCCCAGGAGAGGCTGTGCACGGCTAAGGCTCCCCCAAGAGCCGCACTCCCTTTAAAGAGTGCGTGGAGTGTGTGTATGGCTCTTTAAAGGGAGCGCTGAGCAGAGCCTCCCGCCTGCATTTGCTCTATAAGACGCACACACATTTCCCCTTATTTTTTAGGAGGGGAAAAGTGTGTCTTATAGAGCGAAAAATACGGTACATTCCACTTTTTTATTCATTGAGCTCAAGGTGGTTCTCTCCCTCATTTGTTCCCCACAACAACCCTGTAAGTAAGTTAGGCTGAGAGGCAGTGACTGGACCAAGATCAGCCAGTGAGAGTATCATGTCTGAGTTGGAATTTGAACTCTAGTCTCCCAAGTCCTAGTTCAACACTCTCACCACCATACTGAATCTGTAACCTCTTTTGACCTCTTTTTGCTGATGTAGTTCATTTTGCCAATACATAAAAGACTGCCCTTATGTGAGCCATTGATAAGTTCTCCTCCCCACAAGGCTGCCCCCTTGCCTCAGAGCTCCCGTTCTCCCAAACCATGGGTACGCAAACTAAGGCCTGGGGGCCAGATGCAGCCCAATCACCTTCTAAATCCAGCCCATGGACGGTCTGGGAATCAGCGTGTTTTTTACATGAGTAGAATGTGTCCTTTTATTTTAAATGCATCTCTGGGTTATTTGTGGGGCCTGCCTGGTGTTTTTATATGAGCAGAATGTGTGCTTTTATTTAAAATGCATCTCTGGGTTATTTGTGGGGCATAGGAATTCGTTCTCCCCCCCCCAAAAAAAAAACATAGCCCGACCCCCCACAAGGTCTGAGGGACAGTGGACTGGCCCCCAGCTGAAATTGCTGACCCCTTCCCCAAACATTCGGTAGAGCTTAAATGATGCAACTAGGTTGGTTTAGGAGTCTTTACTTGAAGAGATCCTCTACCTCCATTGTTGACAGATGTCCCCTGAAGCCCAGCAGAGAGAGCACTTTCCCTACAGGGAATGAAAGATGTCTTTTATTCATGGAGGCGTATGGTGACTACTGTAGCCAGGAGGCTGTTCTAAGAGAGCGGCTATTTTAACAATATTTATGCACACAGGCTCAGTTGACTGTGGCTTCATGGAGAGCCACACCCCACAGCTGCATGGAAGGATTTGGAGATTAGGGCCCCAAGAAATGGGAGTGGCTCTCTGAGCATGCAAGGTTACGGAGATGCATCCTCAGATCACTTCCCTCATAAGAAACGCTCTTGCACATTTGGGAAAATGAGAATGCTGTGGACAGCGACAGGCGAAACCCCCCCAACTCTTCTGAAGCCTGCCTGACAGTTGCATACAAGCTTCAAGAGAAAAGAGCTATGTGGTTCGATGCAGAAAGGCTGTCTAATTAGCGCTGCGATTTGCATTTCAAATGCATCAGAGTAAAACGGCAACACAGGGCTTTCTCAAACAGATGCTCTCAGGCAGGCTGCTGTTCCACTGGGCTAATGACTGTCATACATAATTAGGTCACTGATTTCAGAGGGTTATGGGGTTTACCTTCCTAGCAGGAAAATGTTTGCAGTGTATAATGAAAAGGGGTGGGGAAAGTGTACTCGAAACCCAGTACCCTAATGAGCATAAACGATAGGTTTTTGGGTACAGTATTTCCATTGAGATAAAAACACCAATTCATGATAGAATAATTTAAGGAAGAACATAAAGAGATTCAATTGCGGTAACCTAGAATGCTGGCCACCAGTAAAGACAGAAGAAGTAGCCACTGATAGTGTTAGTCTCCATGAACTGGTATAATCCTCTTGAAGCCATCCAACTTGGTGGCCATCACGACCTCTACTGGGAGCAAATTCATAGATTAATTATGTGCTGTGTGACTATTGGGCTATGGACGACTACTTAGAGACACTATTGTAGGATTGCCATATTTTGAAGAGCAAAAAAGAGGACGCTATGACGACTCTCGTTTCAATATCCCTACTATATGTAGGCTATAGAAGCTGTGGTATACTGCTGAGGGGGGCAGGAGAAGAGACAAGGAAAGCAAGTCTTCAGCCACCAGTTATATCTACGTCTCATCCAGACAGAGCATTACACCAGGTTGGAGCCATCACTGAAAAGGCCCTGGCCCTGGTGGAGGACAGTCTGACTTCCTTAGGACCCAGGACCTCTAAACTATGGTTGAAGAGTTAATAGGAATGGTCTCTCCCTCAGGAGGTTGTGGACTCTCCTGGTTTGAAGGTTCTTAAGCAGAGGTTAGATGGCCATCTGTCATGGATGCTTTAGCTGAGATTCCTGCATTGCAGGGAGGTTGGACTAGAGGACCCTTGGAGTCCCTCAACTCCACTATTCTATGATTCTAATTTCTACAGCTGCAACTTGAAGAACTGTCTTGGACTGCAGTCTTGCACCTTTTTGCTCACTCTGTCACCAATCACAATTAGAAGCACACACCCCTCCCCCCCAAAAACCCAGCTGCATTTAGCTTTTATTGAAAAAGGTAAGTGAAGAGATCAGTTGTTGATCTTGGGAAAACATCCATTTGGCTCCCAGTGCACAGTTTAAGTGACGTGTGCAAAACTGCTAAGATCTCACTGCTCTCTGAACAAAGCCTTAGCATGCTCAGGAGAAGCTACTGATGTACTCGAATGAAAAGGAAAAATGCTCAGATTAAGAAGCTTATTGTTAAGGCTATCGGGTGGTTGCTCGAGAGCAATCAGGCAAGATGCCTCACTGGCCTGTTCTAAAGCTTTATTATTGGTGCTAAAAACCTTTACAATGCAGAGCGCCTCTATTCCATGTCTTGCTCATTCACTAGCAGAATCTGAGAGTGGGTGGTCCTTGAATCTTCGCCAGCAGAGTAGTTTCTTGACCCCCAGCCGACGCCTCCCCTCTCTGCGCAAAAGCCTACTGCGCAAGGAAGGCTTGGGTAAAGGGGGACCTCCCTCCTCCCCGCTTTGCTCAGGCAAGGTGTCCTGACACCGCCTTGCATCCTCCGAGCCCTGCATCTCCTCCCCACTAGAGGCGTGGCTTCCTTCCTCCACTGAGGAAGTGCTGCTTCCCACAATTTTTGGGGGCTCTCTGTAATCCATCCGCCTTTCCCTCTCTCGCCCCTGAGCCAATGGCAGTTCCCGGACACTTATCAAAAGAGTTACCCAGTCCAACAAGCTATTGATGGTGCTATCATTATTTCTCTTAAAGCACTACTGTGCTGTTATGGATGAAAGAATGAGATCATTTAAGAGTAAATAGAATGGCTCGAAAGCAAGGAAGAGATGGTGGCAGATGAAAGAATCAGATGAAAGAAAAACAAAGAGCGATGCTCCCATATTTATAAGCTAAAAAAAATCTTCTTCTTTACTTGTTCATACAATGGCCTTTCCCACTAATGAAAAGTATGGATAAATATACCAATGTATAGCTTTCAGCAAGGAAACAAAACTTGTTGCCTTACACAAAAATGTACCTGCTTAGAACTCTAAGATGCATCTATGTGACCTGATTGGTTTTTCTCCAAGCTGCTATTGCCAGTACATCTGCTTTTGCTCCATTCCACGCTACAAAGCTTTTCATCTGAAGGAGTGGCTGCTGTGATCCATAGCTAACACAGCGACTGCCAGTTGGGTAGCTGCTTCCCACACAAAAGCAAGGCCCTGTCGGTTCTATTTCCAAGCGGCCACCACATATGCTATTTTAACACAAGAACTTGGCTCACGTCCCAAGTTGCGTCCTCCAATTAAGACGCAGTCAGCAAACACCAACACAGCACAGATACAACGGAGTGAATGATCTGAAGTGGTAAAAATATTAGTCTGTAGAATTCAAATAGCAACCTTTGAGACAAGCATTACAGAAATCTTTATCGTTATGAATGGGTTGTGTTTGCCTCCTACATCAGCTTCCATTCACCGGAGAGGTAGGCCACATTTGCTGTACATTTAAATACCACTTTTAACAGTCACGGTTTCCTCTCCCAAAAATTATGGGAGCTGTAGTTTGCTAATGGTGCTGCGAGTTGTTGTTTCTCTCACAGAGCTACAATTCTCAGCGTTTCCTGTCAAGAGGCATTGTTACCCCACTTTTAAGAACTTTTAAAATAGTGGGTATAAGACAGGCCCTGGCAGATTGAGCGGATGAGACCAATAGTGGGTCCAACAGTCAAGAAGGCGGCTTCTGCACGTGCTGTAGAGGGAAGTGAGGAACAGAAGGAAAACTCTGACTCTCAAGTTTCTCCCCAGTCCAATGTCTCCAAGGAAGGAGCTCACACATGCCAGGTATCTCTCACTCCCCATCAGCCAACCACCTGTACAGAGATCACACCAAGCAAAAATTAACAGAGATGCAATGGAAGTTTGTTTGTTTTTATTTTCAGGGTGCCCTGCTTTCACAAAGTGACTTATGAGACTCTAAAGCACACAACATTACCATTGCAAAGCTGCCAGCCTGTATGGATAACGCTGGCCTAGACGAAACCTGCATGCGAAGATGGGCTCCGGCAGATTAAGCGGACAAGACCAAACAGTCATAGAATCATAGAATCATAGAATCATAGAGTTGGAAGAGACCACAAGGGCCATCGAGTCCAACCCCCTGCCAAGCAGGAAACACCATCAGAGCACTCCTGACATATGGTTGTCAAGCCTCTGCTTAAAGACCTCCAAAGAAGGAGACTCCACCACACTCCTTGGCAGCAAATTCCACGGTCGAACAGCTCTTACTGTCAGGAAGTTCTTCCTAATGTTTAGGTGGAATCTTCTTTCTTGTAGTTTGGATCCATTGCTCCGTGTCCGCTTCTCTGGAGCAGCAGAAAACAACCTTTCTCCCTCCTCTATGTGACATCCTTTTATATATTTGAACATGGCTATCATATCACCCCTTAACCTCCTCTTCTCCAGGCTAAACATGCCCAGCTCTCTTAGCCGTTCCTCATAAGGCATCGTTTCCAGGCCTTTGACCATTTTGGTTGCCCTCCTCTGGACACGTTCCAGTTTGTCAGTGTCCTTCTTGTACTGTGGTGCCCAGAACTGGACACAGTACTCCAGGTGAGGTCTGACCAGAGCAGAATACAGTGGCACTATATAGTTGGTTCAGCAACTATTACTATTACAGTCAAGAAGGCAGTTTTTGCACATGCTGTAGTGAGGGGCAGATGGGGCTTGTCAACATGGGAAAGTAGCCCATCTAGGAGAAGGAAAACTCTGATCCTAAACCTCTACTGCCTTGCAGGATATCTTTGAGAGAAGAAAAGGCTAAGCAGTAAACCCCACACAAATCTGGAGAGGAGGAGGAGGAAGAAGAAGAAGAAGAGTCTGGATTTGATATCCCACTTTATCACTACCCGAAAGAGTCTTAAAGCGGCTAACATTCTCCTTTCCCTTCCTCCCCCACAACAAACACTCTGTGAGGTGAGTGGAGCTGAGAGACTTCAAGAAGTGTGACTAGCCCTAGGTCACCCAGCAGCTGCATGTGGAGGAGCAGAGACGCAAACCCGATTCACCAGATTATGAGTCTACCGCTCTTAACCACTACACCACTTTGGTGCTGCTAATGCAGTGGTTCAACTTCACTCCTGGAGGTGCACTCCATGATGCCAACAACAATGGCAACCCCCCAACAAACCCCTGGCCATTGGCCATGCTTTCCGGGGCTGCGTGGAGCTTTGGTTCAGCAACTTCTAGAAGGCCAAATGTCCCCCACACTTGATACAGAGCCATCACACTGAGAGCCTAGCAGGCCCTTGGCTCAGTAATAAAGCATGAAAATTCGTCTGCATGAAAAAGTCTCACATTCAATCCATCGCCTGAAACCCTGGAGAGCGGGGTCTAGCCAGTACAGATAATACTGAGCTAGATAGACCAATCATCAAGTTTATGACATTTTTCTATGTTCTGCTGATATTGCTGGACAGAGGACATTGTTAATGGGTTTTCCCAGAGGGTCTGAGCACCAGAACTTCTACGTTAGGATCAGACCTCATGCCCCTTAGTCCTGCACTTAAAATTCAATATATCGATGGGCCACTGCGACAGAGCACCCATCCACCTGCCACCTTAATTTGCCCAGAGGCACTCTATACAAATCTATGCAAATTTGTGCCATGGGCCTGTGAAACATCTCTTAAATCTGTTTTTAAGAGCAAACGTCTTAAACCATACGGCAGGCTGCCCTTCCATTAGAAAGTTTGCAAATATTTGTTGCAAGTATTTCCAATTCGTTATGAATTCTATCCTGAGCCTCTCTGTAAAAATATTCAAGGGTGCCTCAGTATTGTGTGGAGACTTCCAAGAAAGTGTGTGCATGCACACACACACACACACACACACACACTTTGCTGCACACAGGGCATTCTGTGTGCAAGGCTGATGATCTACAGAGGAAGGCAAGGTGTTTCGCAGCAAAAGTTTCTATTGGCCGATTCCTGTTTTTTCCATCTCTGAGCACACTTGCCAGGAAAGCATGCCATCTGCCTCACCTTCAGCACGAAATCTGTCATTAAAATGTCTGATTTCAGTCTCCTAGCCATCTGTCATTTCCATGGTATGTTCAAGCTAGCAGTGTGAAATTTAAGAGTTGCAAAAATGGCAGCTTCCCCCCCCCACCTCGTTGTTTTGGCAAAGGCTATTCCACTAATAGGTCATTTCACAGGTGCTAGCAATGCCTAAGACATCTGTTTCAGTTGCGTCCTCACATGCCCTTTCATTGCGTCTTACCATTATAGTGAACTGGGATTTAAACCGGGAGAGGAGGGCTAACTAAAAGCGATGGGGTAGAAGACTGCACAAACTAAACGCAAAGTAGAACCGTGTTACATGGAACAGCTCTGCGTGCTGAGCCATGTGGGTGAATCATGGCATCACAACTCTTGTGTTGTCATGATTGAAGTGTGCCCAAAACCATGTGCAGAGACATATTAAGTAGGTCTAAAAACTAAATCAGCCTTTGCCTACCTGGTGCTTTCCAGAGGTTGTGTGACTCCCAATTTCCCATCAGCCCCAGCCAGCATGACCTATGACCTGGGATGATAAGAGCTGAAGCCCAATCATCTCCAGAGGGCACCAGGTTGTGGAAGACTGAATCAACAAACTCAATGAGAAAGAATGGACTTGTTCAGGCAGCTGAGCACTTCTTTGTCACTCAGTTCAGACGTAACAACAAACTATAGTTTGGCATTACACAGATGAGCTCTCTACCCCTGTGATTATTCAAGAGGCAAGTCTATTACACCAACATCCCAAGAAAAACAATTTATGCGATTGCAATTTGTTTCCTAAGAGAGGACAGCTTAGAAATGTTAGGAATTTAAATTTGCTGTGTCACCCCTTTTTTAAGCATCGAGGGAGAGAAAGTAAGCAACTGATAAGTGTTAACTGTTTAATTATAATTTGCTGATGTTTAATTTTACTGTTTACTATTGGATTCTAATGGATTATTGAATGTTGCTTTATTTGATATAAGTTGTTTATTTTAAAGTTATTGTGACCTTTTATATAGGATCTGGTTGTTATTAATGTTGGGTGTCCATTATTATTATTATTATTATTATTATGTGTGTTGGAAGTCACCCAGAGTGGCTGGGGCAGCTCAGCCCAGCCAGATTGGCATGACAACAACAACAACAACAACAACAACAACAACAACAATGCTTTCCATTCTATTACCCAGGGCAAAATGCTTTGTACGTTTTGGAAATGTTATAACTAGGTTTGAGGAAGTCTAGCTTTTAAGTCCCAAGGGAGCAGAACAGAGGAAAGGAGTTCCTCCACTCAGGTCACACCCGGCCCTGTTTCCCCATGCCACTTCCTGATTGGTTGGTTATGACCCCAACAAACAAGCTAGGTTGTGTCACACCTAGTGTGGGGTATTCTTTTTCTCCAGTCTCCATCACCCTGGCAAATTCCTAAAGAGGAGCTCCCTGTGCAAGCAGAAACCAAAGCTTAGAAAATCTAGGAATCGTACCTGCTTTTTGGGGTGCTGGAGTGTTTCCTGATCTGTGCAACGGACATTGTCAACCCCAACAGCCTTACTGGGACATTAACTCATTTATTTTAATGTCAGTTCAAGTATGGCTGCAACCTTATACTTGGGAATAAGCCCTATTAAATTCAGTGGGGCTTACTTCTCAGTAGCCATGTATCGGATTGCTCCGTAAGCTCATTAGACTGCACTGTATTCATTTGCTTTGGCACTCATTGCTTTGTGGTTGCAAATCAAACTTGGACCCCAGACAATGACACTGCCCAACCTCCCCCAGTCCAATGTTGTGGACTGAAACTCGCATCAGCCTCAGCCAGCACAGATAATGGTCCAAGATATCTGAAATGTAGGCTGCAGAAGGCTTGTATCAGTATTTCGGGTGGCACCTTGCATAATTTTGCAAGCAGGTCAGGCAATTCAGCTGTAATGTATTCTTCATTTTCTAGATTCAGAGCCTGCTGGGCATTAGGAAACTCAGAAAGAGAAATTCCAGTTATGACTAAAAATGTACAGCGCTGAATTTTCAGACACCACAAGGGATTTGGCCTCTTGCAGCCAGGACAGCCTTTCTTATCAACTTATGATTTCAAACACGCTTGTAGCCAATAAGGGATGTGAACAGAATTTTTAAAGTATTTTTCCAACTCACTGACTACTGGAACCTTTAGGGCTTGTGAGTACAAAATTTGCTCTCAAATGGGAATGAGTGGTAATTGGGCTATCAGCAGAAAGGGAACATTATCACCACAAACAAAACACAGCTATCGAAAGCTGAACAATTGAAGCAGGTATACATGTGTGTTCATTCATATAAACCTATGCACACTATCCACTTCTGAAAAATTCACTTGTACTTTGAAGACATGCAAAATCTGTTTAAACCTACAAATAGGGGTTAATCGGGATTTGAGAAACAGATTAACCTTTTTTGCTAAAAAGCCAACTGCAACCCTATGTGTATTACTCTTCTCAGAAATGCGTTGTGAATAGCAAGTGAACACACACGAGAGAGAGAGAGAGAGAGAGAGAGAGAGAGAGAGAGAGGGAGAAATATCCAGGAGAAACTTAAAAATTACTTCTAATAAGTGTTGGAAATGTAGAGAAAAGGAGGGTACGTTCTATCATATGTGATGGGAATGTAAGGTTATTAAAAGCTTCTGGGAAATTATCTATAATGACTTTTGTTAAAAAAACCAGAAGCTTTCTTATTAGGATAGGAACGGAACTACCTAAAGAACAGAAGAAAATATTTATGTATGCTACAATAGTTGCCTGAATACTGTTAGCCCAAAGATGGAGGGAAGACACCGACGAAAGAAGAATGGCAGATCAAGCTAATGGGCTACGTCGAAAGGGCAAAATTAACGGCAAAGCTCAGAGACTATGATAACGTGAAATTTAACAAAGAGTGGGAATTGTTTGTTGTTTATGTGCAAAAATACTGTAAACAAGCTGAAACATTGGCAGGATTTTAAGTAAATGCTTGCAACTAGTAGAAAATTAGATAAAATTAAGGGAAATAATAATGGAAAAGGTTTAAGAATGGATATGCAGAAGAAATTGGTTAATATAAGTAACCAGAAGAGGGTAACGAGGGAAGTCCAGAGATTTAAAGAATCTCAGAGAAGGTTTGTGAAAAGGTATTTGTTTTTATTTGTGAAAATGTAACTGTGAAAAACTAATATAAATTTATTTACCAAAACCCCAAAAACAAACACTACTGCTGATCCTACCAATCTCATTTAAGATAGATTTATATTTATTTTATTTTTTCATTTATATCCCACCTTTCCTCCAGGAAGTTCAAGGTGGCATTCAGTGTTCTCCTCCCCATTTTCTCCTCTAAACAATCCTATGAAGAGCGTTAGGCTAAGAGAAAGTGACTGGCCCAAGGACACCCAGTGAGCTTCACAACTGAGTAGGAATCTGAGTGACCAACACACCGACCACTACTCCATATATCTTGGACACAGGAAGCTTCCTTGTGATGAATGGCTTTCCAGGGTTTGAGGCAAGAGTCTTCCCCAGCCCTATCTGGAGATGCCAGGGACTGAACATGTGATCTACCACCAGGCTATGGCCCTTTCCCATTCTGCATCACTACATTATGATGATACAATTAAAGTTACTGCCAAAGCAACCACATTTTTGTTTTGAGCGTATGTAGGAGAAGACACAACTGATGCTATTTATCCAAGGCCTTCTGGCTGGACAGTGAATTACCTAAAAGGATACTTCCACCTTGGACAATCCTAATCTTGTCTCCAAAGCACAGGTTGGTTAGTGCTTTGCCACCAGCGATGCCCCACTTTTGTGCTACGGTGCATCACATTCACCGAGGACCTAGCAGATTTGACAGCTGGAGGTTTTGATGGATCAACCGAGTGTCAAAGGATTAACATTCCATACTCCTTGAAGGGATTTCGTGCCACGAAGCATTTCACGTGGAAGCGCTGCCTGCGCTAACACATTTGGTCACTGCTGAACTTCCTGGTGACATTGTTCTAATTTTCCACATCGCCGCATTTCACTTCAAGGATCTAAATGGGGGTTGTCAAATGAGACCGTTACACATGACATCCTAACAAGAGCCAGGTAGAATAATATTCCCACTTTAGACCAAATGCTTGGCTTGCAAAATTATGATTGGGATGAGATTCCCCCCCCCCCCTTTAACCCAATCGTTGAAACTAATCAATTGTCAAGAACTGAACCCTGCTGGATATAGAGAAAAGAAACCTTAGCATGCCACAGTAGGCATGCTTGTTTAGAAAGTTTAGCTCTTTGCAATGGGGTCGAGACTACAAAATGATGGTCACCCCTTCAGTTACATCAGGGGATGTGAATGATGTGTGCATGCTTTTTCAATTTGGCAGACTGCAAAATGGCACAGACTTCCCTGCCAAAGAGTTAATACAGCACTATCCAGGGTGGACAGGGCAGGGGTCCATTAAGAAGACATAACACTGCCTGCTTGCACTGCCATAGATAATGATGTTTAAGCAAGCAGGCCAATGTCCAATGGAGCAATTAGGCAATTTTAGATACTGGACACAATGGTCTTATGGGAGCCCCTACAGGCATGATTCAGCCAAAGCATTCTAAAGCCCCACTGGGGAAGTTAGGGCTATGCAGAGGCTTCCCACCTCAAAATGTCTGTATGACAGCCAGAATGGAGTCTTCTGCTATGTTATAGAAATCTGTGCTGTCCAACAGTGGTGCAATTAGGTAGTTTTATAGATTCTGGACCAAGGATTGGCAAATCTGTCAATTTTTAAATCCAGTTCTCCACATCTCCACCTCACTTTGCATTTTTTTAAAAAAGTTTTAATGAGAGTTTTAATGAGAATTCATCAGCATTTTAGTGCAATTTTCTCCTGATATACACATGCAATTTTGCCTAACATGCACTTTTTCTTTTTGCAATACGCTTTCCCTTAATATCCTGCATTTCTGCATGTTATTTTCACTAATATATACACCTTCACCCACACTTTACCCTAGTATCTGCATTTTTGTGCACATTACTTGGCTGGAGAAATGTGTGGCAAAATTCAGAGAAGTGCAAATTTCAAAGGAGGACTGTTTCGGTTTGTGCATTGTTTCGGAAAGAGCGAATTACGTAGGTTCACCATTTAATGCAATTTGGATCAAACTACTCGTCTGTCACCACCAATGTGGGAAAAACATTCCCAGAAAATCTCCCAGGGTGTTTTCTCAAGGGGATGTGGATGTTTATTGCCTCCTCCTCTGCTTTGTGCCCACATCTACCCACATCTGCCCACTGGCTGTGCTCCACAAAGGCCAGATCTGCCACCCCTACCAGCTACCCCGAGCCATGCAGCCTTGATCACAGCTTGGATTCTAAGAAGAATCATATTTTCAGTTCTTCTTGCAGCCCCAAGCCTTGAGGTTCAGGTAGGCATATGCAGCAGGTGGCAAACGATTTCTCACTGCCTTGTGATATTTAGTTGGTCCTAATAGAAGACATTGCACTACAGTTATTTCTAGATTCCACCCCACCTTCCAAGGGGCCAGCATGCATGACTGTAGCTGCACCCCTCTCCCCTCCCCACCAGGCTACTGTATTTTTCTGTGTATAAGACACCCCCATGTATAAGACGACCCCTATTTTTTTAACCCAAAATTAAGAAAACGCACCATGCACTATCCATTTATAAAACGACCCCTTATTTTAAACTTTAAAAATTTAGGAAAAAATATAGTCTTATACATGGGAAAATACGGTACATATAGGAGAGAATTAATGCAACTGAAAGCCACAGACACATTCCTGTTAAGAATTAAAGAACCAAAACAATTTAGTGGGGGTGACTGTCCGGTCATCTCTTGCACGAAACAACAACATAGTCATGCAGTATGTTCCAAAGACCATCGTTTCTAACACAGAGCAAGCTATGTGGATAGGCATCTGGCGAAGCCCATTGGAATGGCACTGACAAATCAGGTTTGCTGAATTGATTTTGCTTCCACCCTACCCATCGGAAGCCTGAGGTCCCCCAAATGAAACCAAGTGCAAAATTGGGGCTTTGGGAGGCAGGTGAAACCGGTGCAAAATGGCACCCCAGAGACAAGCGACGGGACCAATTACTTACTGTTTCCTGTTAGCCATATACAGTGGTACCTTGGCTTACATACGCTTCAGGTTACAGACGCTTCAGGTTACAGACTCCGCTAACCCAGAAATAGTACCTTGGGTTAAGAACTTTGCTTCAGGATGAGAACAGAAATCGTGCTCCGGCGGTGCAGCGGCAGCGGGAGGCCCCATTAGCTAAAATCGTGCTTCAGGTTAAGAACAGTTTCAGGTTAATAACGGACCTCCGGAACAAATTAAGTACTTCACCTGAGGTACCACTGTACTGACATAACCTGCATTACACAAATTCAAATCTACATCTTAAGGTACCTTCCATGAACCTCCTTAACTTATCTTAGGAACCAGGTCAACAGCTTCCCATGAGAGAAACCCAAATACTCACACTATGAAGGTTTGTTGCCAAGCATCAAAGAAGCTGTGTGTTTTTCATCTCTGAGCAGTCGATGCCTGTGTGCCACATCTAGGCAGGTATTCATGCATTTTTAACATGTGGCGTCTCCACCAGGTTCTCTTTCCTCCAACCCCTGGAAAAAATATAACCTCTTTCTCTTTTTAAAGCTCGTTTCCTTGGATTTGTTCCAGAAAAGAATACATTGCCAAACGGGAATGGTACATTCATTACTGTCATGGATACTTATACACAGGCCACGAGCAAAACCTGGAAGGCCTACATGTGCAAGCAGATAACAGACGGGATTCATTGTTTGCTCCTCCTCTGTTTCTAAGATCCAGAAACACAAAAGGACCATGCAATCAGCATGAGCTCCACTAACAGGAGCTCAGTAATTCTGCCTTGTTCCCCCTTCAGTAACATTTGAAGAGCACAGATCTTCAGATGCTGTGCCTCAGAAAAAGACAGAGAAAGATAGAGAGCTTAAATTGCCTCCAGCTACCAACTTTCCCTTGCAAAGCTCGTTCAGAAATGATCGTTCCTAGCTCCCGAGAGTCAACAATAAGGCTCAATACACCTAGCCACCATTCCATGCCTACTGAAAATGTGTTCTTTTCTTTTTTTTAAATTTACCATTACATTTATATCCCACCTTTTCTCGAAAGAACTCCAGGTGGTGTCCATATTTCTTCCCCCTTCCATTTTTATCCTCACAACAATCCTGTGAAGTAGGCTAGGCAAAGCAAGAGTCACTGGCCCAAGGTCACCCAGTGAGCTTCACGGCCGAGTGGGGATTGGAACCCTGGTCTCCCAGATCCTAGTCTGACACTCTAACCACTATACCACCCTGGCTCTCTGCAACACACAAGTTCCTGTAGAAAGAGACACTCAAAGGCATGAAGTGGGAAAACTCTTGGCCTAGAGTAAGGGAATGCTGAAGGGATAGCTCAGTCAGCAGAGCATGAGACTCCTAATCTCAGGATCTTGTGTTTGAGCCCCACGCTGGGCAAAAAGATTCCTGCATTGTAGGGACTTGGACTAGATGACCCTTGTGGTCTCTTCCTGTGGGATGTATCTTCACTGAAGCAGTCAAAGACAACATTTTCCTGTTGCCTGGAGTGGACACACAGGGGAATGTAGTTCCAGACAGGGAGGACTTCCTAACATACCTGTTCTGGAGCCTCCTCCCTCTGTGTGTGACCAGGTAGATGGGCGTGACCCTAGCAGACCCTGTAAAAGGACAAGCCATGCAGCCATCTTCCATTCTTCCATTTTCTCCTTTCGGACTCCTTTCCTGGTTCTTAGCCAGCACATGGCTCATCCTTACAGAGGATGGAAGCCATAAGGCCTAGCTCAGACTTCTTTTCTCTACAATGTAACAGTAACCACAAGATAAAGCCTGACTTCAAATTACTGCTGTGAACTGAAGGTAAGTAAACTTTACTCTTACTTTTAAAGAAGACTGTCGTGTTATTATCATTTTAAGAGGGAAATAAAGGGGAAACTTACCAGGAACAATCCAGACTGGATTGCTTAATTTAAATGATTGTAATGAATCCATCAAATTGCTTCCAGCAATCTGCAAGGGAATGTTCTCTGCTGCTTGCTCACTAGCGCGAGTGAGGAAGGATAATATTTAATCAATATATCCTCTCCTACCTTCCTCCACATTCCCACACTTCCAACACTACAACTCTATGGTTCTATGATTATGGAAGCAAAACAGCTCCCTGGAAATAGGAAATTATTCCAGTGGCTCCCCTTCCCATTCTCTCACCAAGCAACAAAGGCACAAGACAAGAATAGCTGGGAAACAAACTAAACTTTAGAGAAGCATGCCATGGTTTGTTTGATCAACTGTGGGGAAATTCATGGTTAACTCAAAGTTTGTTAACCAAACTATGGCTTAGTGTTATGTGTATACCAGGACAGGGGTTGTAATGGAATTGAGAAATCTATAGGAGGAACACTTCACGCTGCAACCTTTTGTTGCAGGTCCCACCTGTGTTCCTGCAAAAGCAATTCAAGGAGATGGTAGACCTTATGAGAGCAAGCTATATTGACCTCTGCTTCAGTTACATCAATTCAGTAGGCTTGTGAATTGTGAATGGGAAGCAAGGTTTGAATCTTGCTCTGCAAAATGCAAGCAACTCAGGACTGAGGGAAGTTCATTCTTGCCCCCAAACGTTGCAGTTTGCATCCTTCCCTCTATAGATTTTTTTTAAACCGATTTTTTAAAATCATAAATATAGGCCACCTGTCGGGCAAAAATTCCACACATTTTCATAAATATTGCAAGCAGTTCTTATAGTAGGAAACCATTTCATGTTTGTATCAGAGCAGTGCACATGAAGAACAAAGAGAGGGTATGATAAACATGCAATCCAATACATAAACTAAATACAATGTAAGATACATAGAAACTGGTTTCCTCAATGTGAGAAGTGAGGTTCCAGGAAACCAGGCAGCGGGCCTTCTTGGCAGTGGCGCCCACGCTGTGGAATGCCCTTCCATCAGATGTCAAGGAAATAAACAACTATCTGACTTTTAGAAGACATCTGAAGGCAGCCCTGTATAGGGAAGTTTTTAATAGTTGATGTTTTATTATGCTTTTGTTGGTAGCCACCCAGAGTGGCTGGGGCAAAACCAGTCAGATGGGCAGTATAAAAATAATAAAATTATTATTCTTGCACTGTAGGAGGTTGGATTAGATGATCTTCGTGGTCCCTTCCAACTCTACAATTCTGCGATTCTAAGATGTCTTATATACAGTGGTACCTCAGGTTAAGAACTTAATTCGTTCTGGAGGTCCGTTCTTAACCTGAAACTGTTCTTAACCTGAGGTACCACTTTACCTAATGGGGCCTCCTGCTGCTGCCACCGCACAATTTCTGTTCTCATCCTGAAGCAAAGTTCTTAACCCGAGGTACTATTTCTGGGTTAGCAGAGTCTGTAACCTGAAGCGTCTGTAACCTGAAGTGTCTGTAACCCGAGGTACCACTTTACTAAGTCAGGTTTTAGGCAAGGTTCTCTCTCAGCCCTACCTACAAATGCCAAGGGCAGAACTTGGGACCTTCTGAATGCAAAGCTACTGAGCTATGGTGTAAAACAACCACATTCTTTTGGCTCTCCCTAAAACCAAAATACATCATGCAAAATGTAACTGAGTAACTGGAGAGCCATTTCGCAACTGGTCTTCATCCCTTCCTAAGAGAAGAGGCAGGCATTTATGTCGGGGGCGGGGAAGCCTGTCAGAATTACCAGCAGACAAATATTTCATCTCTCCTTAATGCAGCCTAATTCAATTTAACGTGAAATCACCTGACATAAGCTCAAAGCTTTGCAGTAAGTATGAATGGGCCAGACAGCTAGATAGTAACCAGCAGGCAAGAATATATTGGCTGTGCTCCTAAAGCTACTGTTAAGATGCCATGTTTGAGAAAAAGGGAGAGAAAGTGTGCCAGTAACAACTGGAGGTGCTGTTTATTACTGAGATTTCTAACTTCAGCTGCCCTTATGGCAGAGACAGAAAACTTTTCAAAACATACTCTGGGTACCTACTTATCCAGGAGGTGGGAAATTTGATTAAATCTACTTTGGTGAGTGGGGTTCCACCACCACAACCCACCTTTCCAAAGAATGAGCAGTCTAATATATACACCTACACACAGTCCATTTCAATTTATGGGAACCACGCAAAAAGGCACCCATGTTCTCATGCACCTCTTGTTCATTTCACTAGGACTGTGCAGGAGGATTTCTTGGTTGGCCATGCCCAAAGATTGCTTTTCTTCTTTCTTTCTTTTTTTACAAGAGAACAGTAGAATTACACCAGATCTATTGTCCTCAGTGTTCTGGGAGCATTTTGCGACAAGGAATTTCATTAGCGCGAGCGGTTTCTGAGCTCTGTGCCTAAGATTTCAGATTTAAAACTGCAGAGTGGAAGGAAAAGAGGACCTTTTTCTGCCTCCCCACGTCCAGCTACTCTCTGAAGACTGGAGAAGAGACCCTCTTAAGAATATTAGTGGGGTGGGCAGGGGAAGGACTAAACCATGTGAAAAATGAACATAATATTTTAGCTGCATTTCATTCATTTTCAGCTTTGTATTCTTGTTATTAAAAAAGTGTGCCGAGACATTCCGTTGTTGTGCCCATAACCTAGGTTTAAGGTGCCATTTAGCTCCTAGCTTTTATATCTCAGTTCCTAACACTGATTATCCTATGACCGACTTCACTGACACTATATGAGGTCAGTCAAGAAACCAGCTGGGGAGATACGAATCAGCAGGAGCTTCCTCCTTTCAACTCTTCCATATAGGAAATTAAACTTTAATCCTTCATTGAGGCTCTACTAAACCTTTTGCCATAAGGCAGGGGTGGGCAGACATCAAGCTTGAAGAATCGACTGTTTTTTTACCCTAGAATACTGAAGTCTGCCAGCTGGAGCCTAGTCCAGTCCAGTCCAGAATACATATCTATGATTCTGTGAAAATAGTGGTTTAGGAAAGGGGTGGATACACCCTTAGAATTAAGGAACAGAGCACCTGTGGTATGCATGTCTAGGAACTCAGTTCTCAGTATTCGCATATAAAACTGCACTCGTCATTTCCCCTTAAGTCCTTGTCCCCCACTCATATCAGCAGCTAACTCGTGTGTGTGTGTGTGATTGTTGTTGTTTTTTTTTGTTGCTGCTGCTGCTGCTATTGTTAAACAACCATGTGTTGGAAATCCTTGGTTATCTACTGCAAGCCAGAAATCTAACAGTAGATCGAACTTTGCTAACCTGATACTTCCCAGATGTTTTGGACTACAAATCCCATCAGCCATAGTCAGCATGGCTGTGCTGGATGGGTAGGTCAAGACACAGAGGATGGAAAGATGGATGGATCAGGAACAGAGCAGCACAGTGGGGCTTATTTCTCAGTAGACAAGCACAGGTAAAGCTCCAGTCTTATATGTATATAATGGGGAGTAAATCCCATTGAACTTAGAGGGGCTTACTCTGAGTAAACATAGAGGATAGTGCTGTTACATTCTATATACATGGAAGTATTGGGGGGGGGTTGAAAATTATTCCTACCCATCTGCTCTATCCCCACAGGGAAGTGTACTTCCTCATGCTACACACCACCAAATCTAATTATCCCACAGAACAGGTTTCCAAGCATACTGAATTTTGCATACACCCTGGGACCTTAGGGTGACGGACGGGTAATACATTATTATTATTAGAAATGCAAATTATTAAGTGGGACAGAAACGTCTTAAGCAAATGAAAGAAATCAGTGCAGTTGGAGAATTCTATTATTTGCTGCTGCAAGGCAGACGCAGCCCTTCATCTCCTTCAGGGGGAAATCGGCTTGTTGCATTCAAAATAAAGGGGAAAACAAAAATCTTGCACAAACCTCTTTATCCCTCCATCCCCAAGTTCTTCTCGGGGTTATGTCACTAAGCCCTAAAACCTCTTGTTATTGGAAAGTAACAAGGGCGAGAGGGAGAGGGAGAGAGAGAGGCTTCCCCACTCCCCTCCTCCTGTTCCTCGCCTAAAAATAGAAAAGGAAGGGGGGGGTCAGTGCATCTCAAAGCATCCACCCAGAAACCTGTGCAACCGCGACACCCTTTCCTAGTGAGGGGCGGCTTCGAGGTCGCCCCTCTATCCAAAGCCTCCTCCATTCATTTCACTGTATTCATTCGACGGGACTTGTATCCCGCTTAGTCGCCCAGAACCTCAAAGCGGTTCCGCTGGAATCCTAAGCGCTTTACGCAAAATCCCCTTTCATTCATCACGACGGCTACGGATGTCAGAGATGGATGACCCACGCATCTGTTGCAAACCACCCCCTCCCAATATTCGGGGGCGCGGAGAGGGGCGGTTCGAAGGCTCAGCGGACCCTCGACGGGGTGGGGTCTGGAGGCTGCCTCTCGCCATTTACCTGCGCGGCCATAAAGGAGAGATCCATGGTGCTGCTGGACCCCGAGGTGCTGCTGCTGCTGCTGCTGGCGCTGTTGTTGTTGGTGCTCCTCGCCGAGCTGGCGGTGAAGCTGGTGCTGAGGTTGCTGCTGCCCCCCGGCGTGGCTTCGTCTCTGGGGGGCTGGGGAGGGGCCTCCCCCAGCAGCAGCTTGGGGCGCGTTACCAGTTCCAGCTCCCTGGGGTGGCGGAGCCCACGCGGCTGCTTGGCTGTCCCCAGCTTCCTCGGAACATGGTCCGCCCCGATGCTGGCTGTGGCGGCGGCGGCGCCAGCTGGAGTCTCCACAAGCAACTAGTCCGCGCGAGGAGCCGCCTTTGCTGCTGCCTGGCCACGCCCCCTTTCCCGGGCAGCTCAGTCGCAGCAGCAGCAGCAGACAAAGGGGGACAGGCTCTCCTCTCTCCGCCTCCTGCTCCCGCTTCTGCCTCGTGCAAAGGAAATTGCTAAGCCAGCCAACCACCTGAGTCCCCAGCTACTATGCCAAATGCACACACATTACGCACACGCAGATGGAGTGTGTGTGTTCCCCCTTGGCAGGTCTCCTGTGCCTTAAAAAAAATGACCGGATGATATGAGAGGCAGGCAGACGTTCAACAGGTCGCTTCTGTTTTCCCAGCCGTACAGCATCTCCGTTGTTCGTAAGCACTCATTAGATTTTCAAAAGGCTTTCTTTCTTTTTTACAAGGCGCCTCACCAAAGCTTGGCAGGGGGTTGGACTCGATGGCCCTTGTGGTCTCTTCCAACTCTGTGATTCTATTCTATGATTCTATGACTCCTGAGCAAACTGCGCAGTTATGGAATAAGAAATAGCTCCGTTGGTTAGAGCGTGGTGCTGATGGATGACAAGGTTGCAGGTTCGATCCCCGTATTCCTGCAATGGAATCGGGGTGGGTGGCCAGCTCCCAAGACACTGCGATCTACTCACAGAGTTAAAAACTGGCAGTAATCTACCCCCTTTTGGGGGGGTTCAGGTCAAAGTTGTTGAGCTTTATTTGGGAGGAGGAAAACCTCATTTTTTAGGGGTGCAGGCTTCTTTGGGGGAACCGGTGATCTATCACAGATGTCCAGTGATCTACCGGTAGATCAAGATCTACCTGTTGGACATACCTGGATTAGATGATCCTCCAACTCCCTTCCAACTCTACAATCCTATGATTCAAGAGGAGAGGACTTCCTGTATCAGGACTTGGTTATGTAGCAGGGAGCAGAGAGTAAGGATAAAGGAACAGTTCTCTGTAGATGTAGAAAGTGGAGTGTCCCCACCCCTCACCCCACAAGGATCAGGAGTGGGCCTGTACTAAATGGTTCAGGGTGGTGAAAACAAGGTAAAGGGACCCCTGACCATTAGGTCCAGTCGTGACTGGCTCTGGGGTTGCGAGGGACCGACTCTCCCTCGCTTTACTGGCTGAGGGAGCCAGCGTACAGCTTCCGGGTCATGTGGCCAGCATGACTAAGCCGCTTCTGGTGAACCAGAGCAGCGCACGGAAACGCCTTCCCGCCGGAGGTATTTATCTACTTGCACTTTGACATGCTTTTGAACTGCTAGGTTGGCAGGAGCAGGGACTGAGCAATGGAAGCTCACCCCATTGTGGGGATTCGAACCGCTGACCTTCTGATCAGCAAGTCCTAGGCTCTGTGGTTTAACCCACAGCGCCACCCACGTCCCTGGAGAGCACCAAAAGGATGGCAGAGTGAATGGGTGGTAAATTGGCAAATGCAGTTCAGCGTAAAAGAAAAGTGTAAAGTTGTATATGTTGGGGTGAAACCTTAATTTCTTGTATATGCTCAGTGGGTCTCCCTCTCCTATAACTCTAGAAGGGGCATCCAATGAAGCTGGAGGCTGGAGGAATCAGGACGGATAAAATATTTACTCACATGGCACATCGTTAAACTATGGAACTCACTCCTGCAGGAGGCAGTGATATACCACCAACTTGGATGGCTTTAAAAGAGAATTAAAAGTGGGTGCACAGAGGATGGGAATTTCAACAGCTACTAGCCATTCTGACTATGCTCTGCCTCCATGGTTGAACACATTGGGCTTCTGAAGACCGGCTTTTTATGAAAACCGTATTGTCTGTGGTTTGCTTCACAGCAGGAGGAATTCTATTACAACTACACAGAATCTCTAATTGCAGCTCAGAATGAGAAGAATTTTCACCAGGGAATTGGGACTTACACAAACTTAACAACGATTACATTAACCAAGCAGACCTACTTGTATGGACACCTCGGTGAAGATACGGAGGTTTGCATCTGAATTACAGCTAACCTGGACTCTTGTGATTGGCAGAGCGAGCCCTTCTCATCCCACTGGCAAATGTTGCTGTCCGGGAAGATGCAAGGCGGAATGCAATCACTAAGAGAACCCTAACTTTGGAATTTCCCCCCTCCCTGCCCAGGAAAATATTGATGGCTACATCTTTGATAAGCTGCTGCTGCTTCTGCTGCCTAGTTAAAGCATATCTGTTCTCTCAGGCCGAGTCTGTGCTGCTGTCTTGTTAACGTTAACTGCTGCCTGCCGATCTTTGTTGTCCTCAGTTTCAATTGTCCTGGTTTTATTGTGTTTGATTGGAAGCTGTGAGGTGTGGACCACACTGTGGTGAGAAGCATTCTGTGCGCTTCATAAATAGGTAAAATTGTTGTTGTTTAGTCGTTTAGTCGTGTCCGACTCTTCGTGACTCCATGGACCAGAGTACGCCAGGCACTCCTGTCTTCCTCTGCCTCCCGCAGTTTGGTCAAACTCATGTTCGTAGCTTCGAGAACACTGTCCAACCATCTCGTCCTCTGTCGTCCCCTTCTGAGAGGCAGTGTGGTGTAGTGGTTAAGAGCGGTAGTCGCGTAATCTGGGGAACCGGGTTCGCGTCTCCGCTCCTCCACATGCAGCTGCTGGGTGACCTTGGGCCAGTCACACTTCTTTGACGTCTCTCAGCCCCACTCACCTCACAGAGTGTTTGTTGTGGGGGAGGAAGGGAAAGGAGATTGTTAGCCGCTTTGAGACTCCTGAAGGGGAGTGAAAGGCAGGATATCAAATCCAAACTCTTCTTCTTCTTCTCCTTGTACCCTCACTCTTTCCCAACATCAGGGTCTTTTCCAGGGAGTCTTCTCTTCTCATGAGGTGGCCAAAGTATTGGAGCCTCAGCTTCACGATCTGTCCTTCCAGTGAGCACTCAGGGCTGATTTCCTTAAGAATGGATAGGTTTGATCTTCTTGCAGTCCAAAATAGGTAAAATGCCCTTTGAGAAAAATTGCACTAATGAAAGTAACTTAGCTGACTCTCCCCAACATCACTTCTTCCAGATTTATGGTTTGTTTATTACTCAGCATTGAGAACGTGGATATAGGGTTCACTCTATGGCATTTGAAGCAGCAAGGTAACTTGGAGTATGGGGCCATGGGCAAAAAGGACATTATGACTCATGTAGCAATTCTCATCTATATATGTGCCTGTCCACATGCACACTCTAATAAACCAAGCCTTTGGTTGATTTGATTGACATCCTATGCCTTTTTAAAATGTGGGTTGGGGGGAGGTGTTATTAGGTTGTTGTTCTTATTTTGATTATGGATTTTGTGGTTTTATATTTTGATTTTATTCGGTAAACCGCCCTGAGACCTGCGGGTATAGGGCAGTATATAAATTCCAATAATAATAATAATAATGTCAAAACCAACCCTTACCACTTACCAGCACTCCACAGTATTGGTAGGTTTATTCATTGTCCGTAAAGTGCATTGCAACCATGAGACTTCAATATATGTACATTTTTATTAAGTTTTCACAAAGTTCCAGGCCATGTTGTTGTTTGTGTTACCATATGTGGGGACTCCTATTGTTTGTAGTTTTGTGGCCCTGGACCAGTGCACTGCCTCGTTGCTGCAGTGAGCTGGACGAGGGGGAAAATTCAGTCTGAAGCCCAGGAAGGGGGAGGGCTCTGTGAGTGAGTGGCTCTCATGCCTGAGAAATAGGTCAGTTGCCTGTCTGGATTTGGGTGCCCTATCTCGGAAGGAGCAGGTACGTGATTTAGTTGTGCTCCTAGATACAGCTTTGTCACTATAGGCTCAGGTGTTGTAGCAGTGCAGAAATCTTTTTCTCTACCCACTTTTTCCAGGCCGTGAATAATTTTATAAAACTTCAATCTTGTCCCCTTGTGCTGCAAACTTTCTGCTATGTACTGAAGTTCTCACCCTGGGCCAGCAGGAGGATACTGTAGATAGTTTTCATTCAGGTCCACATATGCAAATAAGGAATTGAAAGTGACATTCAGTGATTGGATAGTTACAGAAAGTTGTTACCGTTGCGTTGTAGTGGAGCTCTATATAAGCAGGCTGGCTGAACCCTTCGGTTCAGTTCTGTTCTGTTCTGGCCTGTGAATAAACAAGAGCTGTCTGAAGAATTGCTGTGTCGTCTGGTATGTTCACCCACAACTTAACACTTTCTTCATAAGGGATTCTCTAATTAATTATCCTAAATAAATAAACAAACAAACAAATAAAATACCCCCATGCCTTAGAAGAGCCTGCATCAACCAGGTGACCTCTGGGCAGCTTAGATTACAACTCCCATCACCACCAGACAACAGGGGGCACCAGGTTGACAAAGGTTGACTTAGTTCCTTGGACAAATTATGCAATACGTAACTCGACATCACCTGGGAAGCCAAATGCAGGCTGCACTATCTTATACATGCTATCTTATACATGCTTACCGGGGAGTAACTGAACCTTCTCATAGACATCTATTCATCACTCACTCAAAGATAGACCATGGGTCATTAGTGTGCTTCATGAAGATTTGCTTTAAAGCTGTTTACTTCAAAAGGGGGAGGACAGGGTTTTGTCGCCCCCCCTTCCCCGCTCAGAGCACTGGAACATACGTCAATTAGTGAATCGTTGGGTTTGTCAGATTTCCTGCGGCATAGTAGGAAATCCTTTGTTGCACTGAATGTGTGCATAAGCTCTGCTTTTGCTTCATAAAGCAGATCTAACGAATTTTGACAATTGAATCTGGCTTCCAAAGAGGATTTTTTAAAAAATGTGCTCATATTTATGCGTGTTTGCATTTACTGTATGTCGTGTTCTAGTCTCCAAAGCAATTCAAAGTTCTCCTTTCTTAGACCTCTTTTAAACAATATAAACATTTGGAATGCAAGGATTAGCTTGCTGGATGGGACTCATGGCCCAGTTAGCAAAGTTCCCTGTTTTTAATCTCACAAGATGGAGAGAACCATCCACCCACAATTGTATTCTGCCTCTGGACTAGAGACGTTAAGGTCTGGCGGCGGGGGGGGGGGTGTACCCAGAAAACAGGGGATCCACCAGTCCTCAGTTTCCTCCCTCACATCTTCACATTCTTCATGTATTTGTCTAACTTCTTTTCAAGTCTCTTCTGCTAGTGCCTTAGTCCCCATCATAGCTAGGACCATTTTTGTCTGTATCACTCTTTAATATTTCAGTAGGGCAAAGGCAGAGGGCCTTCTCAGTAGTCACAACCACCCCATGGAATGCCCTTGCATCAGTTGTCAAGGAAATAAACAACTGTTAGACTTTTAGAAGACATCTGAAGGCAGCTCTGTTTAGGGAAGTTTTTAATGTTTGATGTTTTATCATGTTTTTAATATTCTGTTGGGAGCTGCCCAGAGTAGCTGGGGCAACCCAGTCAGATGGGCAGCATACAAATAATAAAATTATTATTATTATTATTATTATTATTATTATTATTATCCTGTCAATACTTGTTGGTGGAAAGGTAGGCTATACAGAGTGTGTCCTGGCCCTTGCTGCCAGAAGAACTCAAACTCGGGTTTCTATTTCTGCCAGTGTTTAATAAATGTATAGATCTGGGTGGTATATATATATATATATAGGCAAGACAA